TGCCACAGGGGGAACTATAGATGCACGCCCTTGCTCTTAGCCACTTCTGAGCTGCACCTCAGCCTTCTGTCCCAAGCCCCATGCCACCAAGAGTTCTGGGGCCCCTTGGTTAGTGCCTTGCCAGAATACCCCATGGGTCAGCTAAGTCCTGCCCTATCCATTGTGAACACCTGGGGACCCCCATACACCTCACAGAAATGGAAAACTTTAGCTCCCTGTGAGATAGGTAGTGTTTTTTAAGCCACAAGGGAAGTTGCTTGTGTGGCCTGGACCTTTATTTTATTTAATTTATTTTTTTATTTGGTTTTTTGAGACAGGGTTTCTCTGTAGCTTTGGAGCCTGTCCTGGAACTAGCTCTTGTAGACCAGACTGGCCTCGAACTCTCAGACATCCACCTGTCAACGCCTCCCAGTGCTGGGATTAAAGGTGTGCGCCACCACTGCCTGGGCTGTGGCCTGGACCTTTAAAGGAGACGGGTAGGGTAGCAAGAACTCGGGCTTGAGAGTCATGGCCACCTAGCAGGTAGCTATGTAGATGTTCCTCTGCCTGGATCAAAACAAGAGCCCTTTTCCTCCTCCTCTTCCTCCTTGGCTTTTCTTTGACAGATGACAGGTGTCTAGGGTGCCGTACCTGATCTTAGAGAACAGAGGGGTGCCATTTCATCCATCTCTACCCATCATAGGCTTTACATCTCCTGTTTGGCTGCTCTAAGTTGGTTCCCTTGTGTGGTCGGAGGCCCTGGCACCAGTACTGTCTGTCTGGTACTACCCCAAGCAAGCCACTTCCCCCTTGGGCAGTGACATTGGTTGACTTTGCTCATGGCATCAAGACAGTTGGGAGCAGCTCCAGAGGCACCAAGAAAAGAACAGAACCCAAAGGTAAAGCTTCTCTTTGTTCCTGTCTTTTCATTGCCCAGCTTTTGCTGAGCTCCCTCCTCCAGGGCGTGTCTAGCAGCACTTGAATCCATCTGCACCGTTATCACCATGTGTACCAGGTCCAGGGTCCTTGGCTTTGTACCCCAGAGTCCCTGTCAGATGAGTATGGCAGTCTCACAGAAATGCTTGATAGCCACGCCTCTGCTTCACCTGTTTCTAATGCCCTTTCCAACCTCAGACACATCTGCAACTGCTTATTCTCAGAACCCCAATGATTGAAACAGGAAGTTTTTAAGGAAACCTCTTGAGGATGTGTGCTCTTCCTGCTCTCTGCTTCCTGGGTTCTGGGCTAGGCCCATACCTGCTGGATCCCCCACACTATCAGATCCTAAGCCTCTTTTTTTTTTTTTTTTTTTTGTGTGTGTGTGTGTGTGTGTGTGTGTGTGTGTGTGTGTAGGTCAAAGAACAGCTTGACAGCAGTTGGTTCTCTCCTTTCACCATCTGGGTCTGGAGAGCAAACTCAAGTCTTCAGGCTTGTGGCAGGCACCTTTATGCTCTAGATTCCAAGCCTCTATTTTTCTTCGGGCTGCCCTAGAACCTCCAGGTGGCCTTTCACAGCCTCAATCTCAGAGTCTCCTGCTCTCTGCTGTGTGTCAGCTTGACAGGGTAGCTACAGGGTCTTTCTTCATACTGTGCTGAGACACTCAGGCTGGCTGGCAAGGTGCACATAGAATTGCTTTGTGAAGAGGACATGAAAAGTCTGCATTAATCGACAGGTGTTCAAGTCTGAGCCTGCCAGTCCTTTACTGACCGTGCTCAAGGTCCTACATGTGGATACTCAATGAATCACCCTTGCTCTCTGCTCTAGCTTGATGTACATTTTGAAGAAAGAAAAGTCAGATCAGTCCTGTTGAGGAAGAAAGCCTCTGAGCCAGATCTCCATATCTGCTCCCAACCCCAGACTAGCACCCTGGGGGCCACACGGACCCTCAGAGCCAGTGCAGATGGAACAGTGAGCACATATTGGACATAGGAGTCTAACTTGCTTCTTGGGTTCATTGCTGAGTTACCCATTGGTAGGGGATTCCGAAGGAAAACTGGGAAGAAAAGTATGAAGGTCTATAGCCTGAAAGCTCACATCAGGGGTGAGATGTGCCAGAGAATGGGGAAGAAAGGGTGACTCCACCGTCTCTAGACTAAGCGAGTTTTCCTCCCATCTCTGTTGAGGATTTTGTTCTCCAGTATGTTACCATGAAAGCATCAGGTATATCAAAGTTGAAAGGCTTTGCAGTACACACGTGTTGCCTGGGCCCTGCATTTTATTATATCTTCTTTGTCTACTCACAGTGCGTCTTACCCTTTGAATACTTTCTCAATAAAACGTGAATTCAGTTGTTTTCTGTCAGTGTTCCATTGCTGTGAAGCGACACCGTGACCACAACAACTCTTAAAAAGTAAAACATTTAATTGGGACTGACTGACAGTTGAGGAGTTAGCCCATCGTCATCGTGGCAGGAAGCATGGCAGCACACAGGCGGACATGGTGCTGGAGAGTAGCTGAGAGTTCTACATCTGGGTCAGCAGGAGCAAGAGACAGTGGGCCTGACCAGCGTTTGAAACCCCAAAGCCTACCCCTAATGGCACATTTCCTTCAACAGGGCCATAACTCCTAATCTCTGTCAGGGTACGCCACTCCCTAATGACCAAATATATGCACCCGTGAGGGCCATTCCTATTCAAACTACCACAACAGCGCCCTTCTTTCTATCCGCCTGTCCTCCTTTTCTTTCTTTCTTTCTTTCTTTCTTTCTTTCTTTCTTTCTATTTGTTGTTTGAGATAGGGTTTCACTGTGTAGCCCTAGCTGTCCTGGAACTCACTCCATAGACTAGGCTAACCTTGAATTTGGAGATCCACCTGCCTCCGACTCCCAACTGCTAAGATTAAAGTCTCCATCACCACACCCAGCTTCAGTGTACTTCTTTGTTGAGGATTTTAAGTATAAAAGTAATATGTGTTCAAGCATTCAAAGCAATATAAAAGAATATTAATGTACTTGGAATCCTACTTTGCTGTCACTTTATTTTTCCAGATTTTTCTTTTTTTTTTTTTAAATATTTATTTATTTATTTATTATGTATACAATCGTCTGTCTGTGTGTATGTCTGCAGGCCAGAAGAGGGAACCAGACCTCATTACAGATGGTTGTGAGCCACCATGTGGTTGCCGGGAATTGAACTCAGGACCTTTGGAAGAGCAGGCAATGCTCTTAACCACTGAGCCATCTCTCCAGCCCCTTCCAGATTTTTCTTTATCTGCACTAAGTTACATATGGTACCTCGTGCTTTGAGTGGATGGGATTAGCCACTTTAGGGTTTTCTTTTACTTCCCAATTTTGAAGTATGAGGTGACAGTGTAGTGACAGACCATTGTCCATCTCCTTTCTAAGTTTATATTGTTCTTCCTGTTGTACCTGGCTTAGCTAAATGTTAAAAGAGAAAGTTATGACCATAAGTGGCCAGGAAACCAAGTAACTTCTCTCACAACTCCGATGGATAGGAATGTCAATATCAAATTTTAACTATTTATTTCTTTTCCCCGGGACTCTAAGTAGGGGACTTTGAACCTATGAATAATGGTTCCCCCTCCCCCTTGAAACAAGGTTTCTCTGTGTAGCCCTGGCTGTCCTCAAATTCACTCTGTAGACCAGGCTGACCACCAACACAGAGATCTCCCTGTCTTTGCCTCCCAAATTCTGGGATTAAGAGGCGTGCACCACCACTGCCCAGCCAAATAATTAATATTTTATGGTCCTTAATAGTTTTTTTTTCCACCAAAATAATCAAGATACAAACAGCAGTGGAAAGAAAGGTCACCAGAACAAAGGACCCCAATCCTGCACCATTCTTGAGTTCCTGGACAATATCAAGACATGTTCTCTGGGCTTCCTCCTTCACAAGATAAGCATAACACTGTGCCTTGCTTAGCTTGTAAGATCCTGCAACTCGGGGCTGAAGAGATGGCTCAGAGGTTAAGAACACTGACTGCTCTTCCAGAGGTCCTGAGTTCAATTCCCAGCAACCACATGGTGGCTCACAGCCATCTATTAATGAGATCTGGTGCCCTCTTCTGGCCTGCAGGCATACATGGAAGGAATGTTGTATATATAATAAATAAATAAATCTTTAAAAAAAAAAAGATCCTGCAACTCAAAGGAAAACGTAGACACAGAATCTCATTATGTATCATGACTTCAGTTTGGGACTGGTGGGACTGTGTCGTGGGAAGTGATCTCAGCTCGTCTTCCTTAACAGCCATAGCCTGTTGTGGTTTGGGGGATTTCCGGGTGATTCCACGTCACTTCTTCATTACCAGACCTTACTATGGGTTTATTAAACTTTCTCCTTGGACAGTCTCTTTAGTCTCTTCTCTGTATATTTTGCCCCACATCTATTCTGAACTCCATATCTAGACTAAAGTGAACTTCTAAGAGTCTCCATTGGTATGTCCCTGTGGAGATAACTCAGTAAACACCTTGATTTGTCTCTCTAACCTTGCCTTTCCTGTGGCGTCTCTTACAGACATGTGCATGCTATTGCCCTACCATTGTTAACACGTGCTGTTGCTGTGTGCTCAGAGTTGGCTCCAGAGTGCGATCCCCGTCTCCACCTCTGCTGCCTCTTGGCTAAGCAAAGGAGACTGAGGTTCCACAGCACAGCACAAATCTGCCTTTGGGACTTGGTTTCACCCCTGCCTGTGACTCCCTGAATCTCTTTGTAACCTGTCTTAGCAGACTTCCCTGAAGTTCCCAGGTGTCTGACACTGTTTCCTTTGCCTGAAATCTAATCCCTCCTACCCCAGACCATGCCTTTGGCTCACACCACCATGACTTCTCCAAAGCTGTCCTTGAACAATCTGAGTAAGTGCTTTTCTTCCCTACTCCTACTGCCTGGATTTCTGGTCAAAAGGCTCTTACAGTTACTACAAATTTCTCCCATTGCTGTGTCCCCTGCACAGGAAGCATAGTGGTTTAATTCATGCAAGTAGTTCCTGGACCTGTGTTTGATCTGTGCCACCCACCTGCTGGTGACTAACCCTGTTGGTCTTCCTGTCTGTCTATCTTGCAGATGACGTGCTGACTAAAGATGCGGGTGAGTGTGTGATCTGCCTGGAGGAGCTGCTTCAGGGGGACACGATAGCCAGGCTGCCTTGCCTGTGCATCTATCACAAAAGGTACAAGGGCCTGGCGAGAACAACTCTGACAAATCCCACATCCAAGGGGTAGATGGCCTTCACCAGCCATCCAGTCCTCTCTGATTATGGGATGATCTGTATACCCTTTGCTCTCTGAAAGGGGTCAGGCATCTGCTGTAGTGACGGAAGGCTCAGTCATTGCTAGGGCAGGGCAGAGGTGAATTGCTCAGGGCTCAGCTCTGCTTCAGCAGTTCAGATGGTAGGAGCTGTGGGCAGACCTGGCTTGGAGGTATATAGGATCCCACCTGGAGCTTGGCTCCCTTCCCTCTGAACCCTGCCCTGCAGAGAGAGGTAGCAAGGGTAGAGCAGCTGTCCTTGCTGGCCTGTGCGGCACCCTCCTCCTGCAAGGGCCAAGAGGCAGGAAAAGGCACTACCTGTAAGTCCTGAGCTCTGCTGTAGTTAGCCAGGCCAGAGTTTGTCCTCTGCCTTCAGCGGCTGCCTTTGTTGCTGGTTTTTCCCTAACTGGAAAAGAGACCCCTCCTTGCCCAGGACAGGAGCACACCCTGTGTTCCTGTGGCCACCACCTGCTCTCTGCTCCTCCAGCCCACACTGGCACTGGGGCTTTTCTCAGCCCAGCTCAGGACTACTGGTCTTCAGTTTCACAGCTGTGCCTGGTGTGTGATTGGCCTGTGAGAGAACTGTGGTTCCTGATGCAGTTTCCACCACAGCCCCTGCAGCATACAGAGAGGCACTAACCAGAGCCAGGAAAGAAAACCCTTGGCCCTAAGCAAATTACCTGTTTGGTTACTCTCTTTCAAAATGCTGAAATGTGGGTTTACAAATCAGGACAGTGTCTTGGAGCACTTGTTTCTTCTTTGATGCAGACAGCCCTCTATAAACACTGGAAGGTGAGGCCTTACTTACACCCCTTCCCAGGCTCACTTAGCGATGTCAGAGAGCCCAAGGATCTAGCTTCCCTTCCTGCTGTTGTAGCCAAGCTCCTGAGAGAGGTGCCCTCACTTATCACTGGCCAGCCTCTCATCTGGTCCCACTTTCTGCCCCGCCTTTGAGCCAGTTAACCTGCTGCTCTATGTAGTCCTGCGTTCACCTTCTTAGGGTTAACTGTTGCTGTCCTGGGCTTCTTGTACTTTTACTTTGGGCCTCAGAAGGCCACTCTTGCCCTTTCTGCAAAATGAGATGGACCAGAGCCTGTACCTATTTTGCTGAGCCAGGAGCATTCTTTTTTTCCCCAAAGATTTATTTGATTTATCGAGACGGGGTCTCACTGTGTATCTTCAGCTATCCTGGAGCTTACTCTGTACACTAGACTGTCCTTGAACTTACAGAGATCGCCTGCTTTTGCCTCCTAGATGCTAGGATTAAAATTGTGCACCACCACCACCCCCAGCTTATTTTATTATTTGATGTACATGGATAGTTTGCTTGCATGTATTTATATGATGTATGTGCCTGATGCCCACTGAAACCAGAAGAGAATATTGAATCCCTATTAACTGGAGTTAAAGATGTTTGTGAGCCACTATGTGAATGCTAGGAACCAAACCTGGCTCTTTTGAAAGAGCAACAAGGTCTCTTACCCACTGAGCCATTTCCCAACCTCCAGGATCGTGTGTGTGTGTGTGTGTGTGTGTGTGTGTGTGTGTGTGTTAGCGTGTGTGTTAGCTTTAAATTGTGTATTTGTCTGTGCATCTATGTGTATGTGCATCTGAGTGCAGGGGCCTACCAAGGCCAGAGGGATCAGATCCCCTGGGGCTGCATTTATGGGACGAGTGTGAACCAAAAGACATGGATGCTGTGATCCGAACTTGGGTTGTCTAGCAGAGCAGCATGCACTCTCAGCTACTGACCCATCTCTCAAGCTCCCCTCTGCCCGTGTCCTCAGACCATTCCTGATAGTCTTCCCTTCCCTGCTTCCGGGAGGTGGTGGGGGCGGGGGGAGGGGGGGACATAATCATTTCTCCCTGGGGTCCCTTCAGGAAAGATTCTAAAGCCCTTCCCGAGAGTCCAGCCCCTTGACAGCCCCTTTGCAGGAGCACTGTTGTCAGTAGCTGACGTGTCTCCCCTTTACCCGCTCCAGCTGCATAGACTCCTGGTTTGAAGTCAACAGATCTTGTCCAGAGCACCCTGCTGACTGACCCTGCTGGGCTGGCTTGCTGACTCCTCTCAAAGGTGAGCCCATACTTGGTGGGGGCTCTGGGCTTACAGAGTCAAGTTTCTGGGCGCTGGGGAGAGGGGCCAGGCTGCCTTGATATACACCCCTCCAAGAAGAATGCAGTGAGCAGTTCCCAGGATGTGGAGGGATTGATTTTCCTGGGGAAACACAAGAGAGGGACCGTAGCCCGCTCATGAAGAACTCAGTGCAAAGGTAGACTCCACTCCTTTCCGTGAGGAAAGGCAGAGGATCCCCTGCAGAGCGCATGGGCTGAAGCAAGGGAGCCCAGTCGGGCTCTGCAGCTGTCTCCTTGCTCACCTCTCAGGCTCCCGAGGCTCTGTTTCTTTAGAAATGGGAGAACCCCTAAACAGAGACTGTGGAACGTCCACTGTCCACTGCCCAGTGCTTGTCTGAGATCTTTTCACTGCTGTTCTTCCACCTGAGGGCTCCGGCCACACTCAGCCCTCCCGTCCACTGCACAGTGTCACAGCAGCAGCAGCCAGCACGACAGCTCCTCCCACACTTGCTCATCTCCTCCCCTGCACCTGTTCACCTGCTGACCCCTCTCCAGCCCCCACCTGTGCTTTCCCAGCTCTCTTTCTCTTTCTCCCCCCACCCTTGGCAATCAGAGCATAAGTCCCAGAAAAACCAAGAGCCCATTTCTACTTCATCTCACATCCAAAGATTTGGGGGGGATTGCCTTTCTTCTCTTTCTCTCCTTGTTCTGTTTTCTTTTGTTAGGTTTATTTTATTTATTCCAAGTAAATGCCCAGACCAGCTGACGGTGTCAGGCAAATCAGGGACATTTGCTCTTTTTACCTTCACCTCAAAATCTGACGACAAGGGGAGAAGACAAAGCAAGGGTGAGAGTGAGGCAGGGGACTGGACCCTGGCTTCAGAATGCAGGTCCAAATGGCCCGCATGATGTTTGGCTTCCGGGGCCTTCCTGGACTGAACCAGACGCCCCGGCCGACCAGCCTGCCCTCAGAGGGACACGCTGCTGCCACCGTGAGATAGAGCAGCAGCTCTCGGCCAGATGGAGCACGACTGACTTCTTCCGACCCACACAGGGACAGACAGCCCTGTTCCTGGGAGGAGGCTCCTTGGACACTGCAAAGAACTGAGCTTGGGACACCAGAGGGAACAGGGCACCCCTTCTGCACTGACTTCCAGAAAATGGTCCTCCCTCCTCCCTGAGGACACCAACTGGATGAGAGCGAGTCTGAGAGAAGAATGAATTGACCTCTATCCTTCCCCTCACCATCAACCCAGGAGGGAAAGGGCATTTTCTTTTTCACCTTTGAAAGGCGTTGTGGGTCTGTCTTTAAAGTGTTTACAACAACAAAAAATTATATAAAAAAAAGTCTGGTGTCGACTGGTGTTTCCCTTGTGATGTTTACAGATTGCTGTTTGCTGCCCAGCTAAAGCCACTCAGTGACAGAACCAAGCATAGCCATGTCTTCACTGCTAGCACTCTGAGAGCGGGCGGGCACTCGGTCACTTCCTTCGCCCAACACCCCACTTGACTCTCTGTCACTAACCTTTCTACTTTGGGGGATTTTTTTGTTTTCTTGTTTTTCTGTCCCATCTTTCTGGCTTCGTTTTGCACTTTTCTCCCCTTAGTACCCTGGTACCTTGATTTCCTTGCCAAAAAAAAGAAAAGGAAGATGAAGAAGAGCCCATCAAGGATACTTCCCCTTCCATTCCCATGTCTTTCCTGCCTTTCCTCCTGGATCTGGTCCAATCAGAGGATTTAACAATCACAAATACACTGAAAAAAAGCCTGGACATTTTTCTTAGGCCCTTGTGGTTTTGTTTTGTTTTCCCTTGAGAAAACATAAGACTTATTTAAAGGAACATGTACTGCTCCCTGTTTTCAGGCACACTGAGAACATTTTAGCCATTGATATTCACACGTGGCATCAGCCCATGCAGGATAGATTTCTGTATTTATATATTAAAATACAAAAAAAAACCTTATAAAATATTTTAAAAATGTTCAAAGCTCGGGAGAAAAGCTTTTCATCAGTCAAGGTGTTTTGATATGGTATTAAAATAATATCTATAAAAGATACACTGTGTGATCTTATTTTAATGAAGTGTTGTACACAGTCAAGGAGTAGAGGGCAGAGACCAGTTCCCTCTGTCCACCTCCCCAGCACAGCACTCTCTTAGCACCTGGAGTGGCTCTTAGCCACACCTGGGCCGAGGCTGGGCGATGGAGGCTCAGGTATGGCTTTCAAGTTTATGAATTCTTAAGTAATTGTCAGTCTACTGTCATTGCTGATTGTGATGGAATGTTTCTGGGAAGATAGGGGCAAAGATCTTGCAGTCATCAGGTGCTGCAAGGATGTGGGCACCTCCAGGTACCAGCCCTGCCCACCCTTCACAGCCTCTGCTCCCCGTCTTGTATTCAGCTTGCCCGATGCTCCATCCACAGCTCAGTGCTGACTCATGGGCATGCTTCGCTGAGGCCCAGAAAGAGGCCTTGGTTTGGAACTATGCCAGCTCACAGTGTCTGAACCAGAACCAGCCACTCAGCTCATAAATGTTGGCAAATTGCAGGCTGGGCAGGAAACTCAGGGCAGGGGCGGCAGTGCAAACCTGCCCCGTCTCCTAGCCAGGTTCCAGGAGTTGCATTTCAGGGCCTCCTGCAGAGCCAGCTAAGGAAAGCTCTGGAGGGAGATGGCCACATATCTGTGCCATGGCCATTTCCAGACCTGCCCCTTGTACTGCTGCCTCAGGGCCCAGTCCCAACAGGCCCTCAAGTTTGGACTATGCTACCATTCTTGGTCTGAGGTCACCTAGCCTCAGATGCCTCCTGAAGTACCTACTCTGTGTGGACATTTGTCAGCCAGTGGGCACGCGCGAGCCCAGGCAGGCAGGCAGGCTCAGAGAACTGAATGCTTTAGAGTCTGAGTGTTGAGACCTTGGGACCTGAGCTGTGAGCACTGTTAATACTAGAAACTTCATTGTCTATGCTGGGGCATTTTATTTCCTGACAGAATGGTGAGGCAGTAACTTCATCATGTGAAGTGGGGACACAGTGATGCAGCTCTGAGTGAGGGTCAGGGATCTGCCCCAAAGGCCTGGCACATACACAGCAGGCTTCCTTGTAGCTTTGTCTATCCCCAGCACCTCCAGCTTCTGCCTGGCAACTGTGTCTCCCTGTTCTATATATAATCCTACCAGCAGAACTGGCAGGGCAGGGCCCAGCCCTGAAAGCAATCTCCTTGCCTGACCCCTGGGCCTGGAGACAGGCTTCATGTGCCCACCTTGGCTATGTGAGCCCAGCTGCTTTGGCGGAGCTGTGGCTGAGTCCGGTGGTTGAGTTGGTCGGGGCAGCGCTGGGCCCCACTCCGGGTGCTATTCTAGGCTCTCTAGGCGGTGCTCATCTCATCCCCAGTGACTTCCGCCCCCACCCGGCACACCAAAGCCCTCTGTTGGCTGTCACGTCCTCTGGATTTGGACCCAGATTGCCGGTGCCTGGTGTGAGGGTGGAATAGGCTTGTCTGGGCTTCCCAGGTGGCACTTGTATTTGTCACCTGCCATCCAGACCACTCTCTAGAACCCTCTGTTGCTCCTGCTCTGCCTTTCTAAGAGGAAGGAAAATATGGAAGAGCCAAAAGATGGGTTCTTCCCCTTTGCACCAGGAGCCCAGAAGGCCTTCTGAGAGCTCCAGGAGCCCCTTTTGGAAACCGCCCATCTAATAGCCATTTAATAGTATTGAAGCTCATAGGAGAATGTCCTTCTTAGGAGATAGATGCTGAACTATATAGTTGAGTGATTTCAAGCAATGTATAATCTAACTCCAAATGGTTCCCCCAAAAAATACACAAAGCAAATAAGGCAAAAATGTCCATTGTTGAATCTTCAACGACTGATATTCAGTGAATAGTGTACTTGTTCTTTCAACTTTTCTGTATGTTTGGAATTTTCTTTAATAAAAGAAATTGTGGGGAAATGACTGTTTATTGAGTGTCTATTAGTCGCTTGTTACTGGGGCGGGGGGGGGGGGGGGGGAGCGTGTAGAAGCCCTGCCAGCGGAACTCAATTCGGGAGGGCTTGTGGGAGGGGCACACAATCTGTCTGGGTTAGGGTTCACCAGAGCCCTCTCGTTCCCTGGTAATTGAGCAATTGATGTTTGGGTTTCTACATCCTGAAGTGGTTTAGGAGAGAACCATGAGACAGACATCACAGAAAAGGGGTCCTTGGAACTGAAGTTGGACTGAAAAAGTAACAGGGTGGTGGCCTCTTCCGGGAGCATGGTGGGAGAAAAGTGGTTAGAGCGAGGGGGTTGAGAGGCTGTTACTTCCCCTGTCCGTGGCTCCTTCCTGTTTCGTTTTTCCAACCCAAAGACCTAGGAGTAGGGGAAATGGTACTACAGTTGACTGGGACCCACAGGGGTAAAAGGTCTTCTGGCCACCTGACCCTGGAAGGTAGGAACTAGAAGACGCTATTTTTCAGATTTGTGGTGTCACGCGCCCTCTTGTGGACTTCTGAGGAACAACTCCCACGTACCTCCAGACAGGCGCTCTGATCTGGGAATCTCAAAACTGCCAGGCCCCCAAGTAGGCAATATGCTGACTTTGAAGGTAAAAGCTGGTGGGTGGTGCATTATAATGGTATAACGGTATAATGTCATGGAGACAGGTGGTACACAGAGGATTAGCTCACCCCCATTTCTAACGGCCTATGTGGCAGCAGCTTGAAGAGAGTGTTGCAGTCTAAACCTAGTGGGGAAGCTGTCAGAAGTGACCTCCTCTACAGGTGGGTCTTCTGCCTCCCGTATGCAAATGCAGGAGGGTTGGGACAGGCTTTCTTCCAAAGCCTGAACTTGAGCCACTTCCCCAGGCTACTGTCAGTCTAAGAGGACGCCCCGGAAACAAATGGCTCATTAGTCCAAGGTCAGAGACCAACGGGTACAGGATACAGCTGCAAATAGGGTTCACATTCATGGGCATTGGCGGACAAGGAGAAGGCCTAACTGTGGAATGAAGGCTCCTTCCCTATGTAGAGGCGTGGTCCTGCCCTATGTATAGGATGAGCTGTGATGATGCTGGACACCAGTGGGAGGAGACCCACACCATCTCTGCCAGCCAGGAAGAAACTCCGCTGGGAAACACCTGGGTTTTCTACTGGAGCAGAAGGCTAAGAACGGCAAGGAAAGTATTGTAAGTCCATCCTCTTGACCTTCACCTTGAGAGCCAGCTACACAGACACCTGGCAGGCACAGATAGCGTCAGTCATTCTGTCTTGTAAAGCCAGTGGCATGAAGGGGAGGTCGAGAACAGGGGCTCTGCATTCTGGGGATTGTAGGCCAGCGTTTTCAAGTTCCTCACAGCACTTTGCCTGGGTTCATGAGACCTCTGGGATCCAGTGCGTCTTTGAGCTGCCGCATAGTCGCCATGCCCACCGTACCCACTTCCTCTTGCAGCAGCTGTCTCTTGCCCAGCCCGATGCCATGCTCTCCCGTGCATGTCCCATGGAGTGCCAGGGCGCGCCTAGGAGGCCAGTTGGAGTCCTCAGCAGCCCCCTCTCCGCTGCCTCTGCCCTCCCCAACACCCACCCCTCCCTGACTCAGCCCTTACCTGGCCAGATTTTCTGCAAAGGCCTTGACCCTGCTCTGCTCCTCCACATCATCTGGGTTGACCAGTATGATGCAGTGAAAATTGCCGTCACCCACGTGCCCAGCGATGGCTCCTGGGGACCCAGAGAACAAAGCTGTCACCTCTAACCTCCTTGCCCAGGCACCAGCCAACCCCGGTGCCTCCCAACAGGAAGTCCGTAGAACAGAACCTGTGAGTTTTGAGGCCTTAAGGTCCTCCTTGGCCTCTACCAGGATCTCTGGCAACCGGGAGATGGGCACACACACATCCGTAGAATAGGCCTGAATCAGAAGGCAAGCTCATGTGGTTCTCCCAGTTGCCCACTGCCTACCTAGAGGTAAGGGGCCACTGTGACTCAGGCTTAGGACCAGGGGATCTTGATGCCACTGAATGAAACATCTGTCCTCCAGCCCACTCTAGCCTTGGTGTGTTTATCAGCTCAGGTCTCCACTGCTCCCCTGGACCACATGCAGGTTCCCAGCACCCCACACTACCCTCTTAGTCCTCATGACCACCCCGCTAGCCCTTGGGGAGCCTCAGTCTTCTCTGCTGGGTAATGGGTTGAGGAAAGGGCTTATGAGCTGAACTACCGATCCCACCTCCACCCTGGCCCCCAGCTCACCTTCCGTCCAGGAGACAGGGCCAAGACTGCGTACCAAGCATTGTGCCGTGCCGCCCAAAGCTCGCTGCGCTTTTCAGCCTCCTTGGCCCAGGAGAAGTGAGAGCCCCCGTTATCCTGAGTGATTGCCTCTGTAGTAGGAACAGAAAGGCTGTCCCTTAGTCCCGCACTAGGACAGCCCAGGCCCCACTGTGCTATCCTCCCCAGCGCACCTGTGCGTTGCACCTGTTCTGCTAATGCCTGCTGGGAGCCATGGAACTCCAAGAAAAGGGTGGGTGCCACAGGGCAGTTCAGTTTGCTGTGTCTGTTGCAGGCATCCATCATGACGTCATCCAGGAATTCTGGAACCAGGGAGAGGGCTACTTCTGTGAGGCCTGGCCTTCTGTGAGGGCCTTTTCTATAGAACCCACCCCAACTGACTCAGTTTCTTGCTCACCAATGCGAGCCACAGGCACTGCAGACTGAAGGATCTGAACGGTGCTGTCCACAGCAGCTTGAACACTGGGGAATGCACAGGTGGCTGCCACAGTGGCCTCGGGTGCAGGATGCAGGCGCAGGGTGGCAGAAGTAATGATGCCCAGAGTCCCCTCTGAGCCCACAAAGAGTCCTGTGAGATTGTAGCCAGCCGAGCTCTTCCTGGACCCAGGGACACATAAGGTAGGTGAGTGATTTCTGTCTAGAAGCCTAAAGCTAGGAGACAGGCTTGGACTGTTCTCCTGCAGCCCCAGCTACCATCACAGTGCTTGTGATTTAGTGACCTGGCTTGGCCTTGCACAGGGAGAGTCTGTCACTGGCCCTCTAGGGTTCCAGGGCCCTCCCGAGTATCCCTCACCTATAATGGCGGCCCCGGCCTGCAGTATGAAGCAGCCTGCCATCAGGCAGGACCACCTCCAGGTTGATCACATTGTGTCGCATGGTTCCATAGCGCACAGCATTGGTGCCTGAGGCCCCGGTGGCTGCCATGCCACACAGAGAAGCATCTGCACCTGGGTCTAAAGGATAGAGTGGAGTGCTGGAGAGGGCAACTTGGGAAGCTCTTTCCCTGTGGGAAAGATGAGGTCCTCTGAAATCCCCCAAACAGCCCCCCCAAGCCCTCAGGACCCTGAGGAACTGGTTAGTCCTGGGCCTACCAACAGGAAACCAAAGGCCGCTGTCCCGCAGGTGGGTATTGAGAGCTTTTCGGGTGACACCAGGCTCCACCACCACAGAGAAATCTTCTGTATTCAGCTCCATGATTTGGTTCATATGGGTCAGGTTGATGCACACTCCACCCTGGTGGCAGGGAAGACAGGAAGGCTGCTCAACTCGGTCTCTAGGCCAGGAGCAGCCCCTAGGACCCCATTCTATGGCTGAGGCCCCACATGCCAGAGCTCTAATTGACAGGTGGAGCACCCCATTATACCTGTATAGCACAAACTCCCCCCTCAACACCGGTGCCGGTGCCAAACGGGATGATGGGAACACCTTGGTTGTAGCACAGGGTTGCCAGGCGGCTGACTTGGTCCACATTCTGAGGCCACACCACAACATCGGGCGGTTGGCACCTAGAAGCAGGCAGGCCTCAGAAGTTTCCAAAGGCGTTCCAGCCCCTCGCCCTCTCATTTCCATTAACCTGGAGTTTTCCAAGGACCTGAGGACGGGGCCTCAGCGGATTGGAACAGAGAACACCTCTCTAAAGAGAACGCCCGCACATTCCAAACAGGTGGCAAGAGACCAGGACAGCCCAGGACCCTCAGTCCCAGCAGCAATTTCTGATACCTATGCATCGACTCGTCATGCCCGTGATGCTCTCTGACGGCAGAAGCAGTGGACACGTGGGGGCTCCCTACCACTGCCTTCAGAGCTTCCACAAAGTCCTGACTGAGTCCACCCTGCCAGGAAGAAGCAGTGAGTGCGAGGGTCACAGGGAAGATAATAGAAGCTGCAGCCCTACCCTGTGGCAGGAGGGGAGAACAGGAGCCGGTCAGATTGCAAGAGATGACGTCACAGAGTCTCGAGCACTTCGCACCAGGCTCCCCACCCTCCAGGACCCGATCCACACATAGACATGTACCTGTGACCCCCTGGAGCAGTAGCCCCTCCAGGGACACAGCCTCTGGGTTGCCACCCGAAGGAACATGGCCATAACCAAACCGCAGCTAAGGTGAGAGTACTAGGAAGGGGAGGAGGCAGTGCCAACCAGCCGCAGCGGGGCCCAATGGCCGTACTGGGTGGAGCCTGCTTAAGGTGGAGCTAGCTTAAGGTGGCCCCTGCAGATATGGAAACAAGGACAGCAGCCACTTTCCTGCCTTAAAAGTCGGCTGCTTCCTGTAGCCCTTAGCACAAACTCCGCGCTGGCGAGGAGGCTTTAGAAGTTCCACTGACTCCTCGGGTTTTCCCGTCTACACTTCCAACTTCCTCTTTGACCTCTAGGCTCTAGTTTCCCTTTTCTTTCCAGAGCTCAGGCCAGGCTCATGACCTTGGCTCCTACACTGGACCCTGAGGTGTGTGACGCCTGTGTCTAAGTATCACAGACAGAATACCAGCCATTTCTCCGCTTGGTGCATGAGTTCAGTCCTCAGGACCCACAAGGTGGAAAGAGAGAACGAGCTCCAGCAAGTTGTCTCTGACCTTCATACATGTGCTATGTAGTACGCACGCGCGTGTGTGTGTGTGTGTGTGTATGTGTGTGTGTGTGTATGACGCACACATCACTCAATTTGATTGCCTTAGTTCCCCTTTTAATCTTTTTTAATTATTTTTTAATTGTTCATTGTGTATACAGTGTTCTAGTGGGTGTGAGCCATCATGTGGGAATTGAACTCAGGACCTCCTGAAGAACAGTCAGTGCTCTATAACCTCTGAGGCTTGCCTCCAGTGCCAGAACTAATGTTTGAAAGTACCAAGTTCAGGGCTGGAGAGATGGCTCAGAGGTTAAGAGCACTGACTGCTCTTCCAGAGGTCCTGAGTTCAATTCCCAGCAACCACATGGTGGCTCACAGCCATCTATAATGAGATCTGGTGCCCTCTTCTGGCATGCAAGCATACATGAAAGAAATGTTATATACATGATAAATAAATAAATCTTTAAAAAAAAAAAAAGTACCAAGTTCAAACAGTCTACCTGGAAGCAAGCTCACTTTAACATTTCATTAACACCATAGCTAGACCTGACTATGTTAAAGTTCTGTATGACCGTTTCTTTCCATTCTCAAATTCCTACACTTTAACTCATCTTGTTCTCAAAGGAATAGAGGAAAAAATATAGACAGGGCAACAGCCGCTATATATTAACACAATCCAAACGTTGGCCCCCAAACACAGTCATACAATTTAAATTAGACAAGATAAGACTAACGATTTTAGCACAGATGATTTGAAAACAGAAATGCAAAACTGAATGCAGGAAAGCCAGCTCAGCAGTTAAGAGCGCTTGCTGCTCTTTCTCAAGACCCAAATTTATTTCCCAGCACCCATTTAATGGTTCACAACCAGCTCCAACTCCAGTTCCGGAGGACATGGCACCCTCTTCTGGCCTCCACAGGCACTAGGCATGCTCGTGGTGCACAAACATACAAGCAAGCAAAATATACACAGTAAATAAAAATAAATCTTAAAAAAAATAAAAGAAATGCAAGATGAAGTGGCCAGAGGTTTAAAACTCAGTGACTTTCAGTAAGCCAGGAACAGCTTAAGTCATGGCTCCCATGCCTTAAAATCATCTGAGCCAACCAAGCACTTGGCGGCGCACGCCTTTAATCCCAGCACTGCCGAGGCAGAGGCAGGCAGATCTTCAAGTTCAAGGCCAGCCTGCTCTACTGAGGGAGAGCTCCAGGACAGCCAGGACTACATGGACAAACCCTGTCCAGAAAACAAAACAAAACAAAACAGCATGAGCATACAAAACACTGACCAGAAATCTTCCTAGGAGATCTTCAAGTTCAAGGCCAGCCTGCTCTACTGAGGGAGAGCTCCAGGACAGCCAGGACTACATGGACAAACCCTGTCCAGAAAACAAAACAAAACAAAACAGCATGAGCATACAAAACACTGACCAGAAATCTTCCTGGGGGCACCAAGATGATAGTAAAAAATGTAACGTTCTCTATGGTTACATAAATCACAGGGACAGTTTCCTTAATAGCCTCATTTCTCTGTCTCAAGTGATTGAACAGAACCCCAGTTGGCTCAAAAGAGCCCTCCAAATTTCCAAATTGACAAGACCTGTCATACAGTGGCATAAGATCCCAAATGCTTCAACAGAGCTCAAACAGTTGAGATTGTTAAAAGACAAAGCCAGTCACCAAATACCAGATACCAGAATGGTTCAAAATGAACCTAACTAGCTCAAAGGAGCCCCAAAACCTGAACCCTGGGGTACACTGACTGGAAGAAACTCACTAAGGGCCAATTTTTTTTTCAAAATCCAAAACAAGCCCACATACTTATTTCTCTGCTTTATCCAATAGAAGTGAAAAGCACCTGATGCCCTGGAAATGGGAAGAAAGGAAAGTCCCTGGAACCAAGTGACTCCAGGAACTGGGCGGGGCCCTTCCATCTTCCTTATTTATCTGCCGTCAATTTGTTCCAAGTGGCCACCACCGGGAAAAAAAAAGTATCTTCCTGGTTATGTCACTGAAATTGTGACTTGGAGTTGTTAGGGCCAGTGCCTGAGCCCTGGCATCGCCTACAAAGCCAGGCTTAGCCGCCCGCTGCCAACAGGCCGCTTCCATAAACAAATGATACTGAAAAGCAGAGTAAGATGTATTAGATGTGACCACACTAGGAAGAGAAGCCAGGAGTTTCAGTGGCTCACCCACCTCCAAGCCATCTTTGGGGTCCTAACATGAGGTTTAAGCAGAGGGGAAAAGAATCAATCAGCTAATCCATCCTAGCTGAGGTGTGTCATTGTCTCCGTCCCGGTCTCTCCTGCAAAGTGGGCTGACCAGTCCTCAGCATTGTACGAAATCTCTGCCTCTGGTTAGCACCAAAAGCCCAGTTTTTTGCTCTTTCCAGCTTGAGGTCCATTGTCCCAATATCCTGATAGCCTGAGGGAAGAACACAGTATCTGTTTATAATATCTTCATTCCTGTAAGGACGGTTACATAAACACATCACTTTTAAATAATTAATTCCACTCTTATGGTCCCTAAAGGTTCTTGTTCATCTCATAATGCAAAGTTCATTTAGCCCATCTTTAAAGTTCCCAAAGTCTTTTTTTTTTTTTTAGATTTATTTATTAATTATACAGTGGCTTGTCTGCCTGTGGGCCAGAAGAGGGAACCAGATCTCATTACAGATGGTTGTGAGCCACCATGTGGGTGCTGGTGATTGAACTCAGGACCTTTGGAAGAGCAAGCAGTGCTCTTAACCTCTGAGCCATCTCTGCAGCCCTAAAGTTCCCCAAGTCTTAACAGTTCCAAAATTGTTCAAAAGCCCCAACAGCTTCTCTAAAGTCACGGCAGTCTCTTAACTGTGAGTCTGTGTAAAATAAAACAAACTACGTACCTCCAATAAACAACGGCATGGAATAAACTTTTCCAGTCCAGAATGAAAGAACGGAATGATAGTAAGAAAATGCTTACTGAAGCAAGATCAAAACCCAGCAGGGCAAAACACCAAACTCTGCAACTCCACATCTGGCATCTGGGACTCAAGATGGAACCATCTGGACACGAACAACTTCGGACAGCTCTGCCCACCTAGCTCTGCTGCCTGAAGTTCACGTTCCCTCTGTCTTGGGCAGGCTCCGCTCCCATGTCCGCAGATTTTTCTCCTCAGATCTGCTGTCTCCAACATCCTGGAGCCTCTGCTGCAGTATTTGTCTTTACCTTCAGACCTTTACGTGATGATCTGTCAGGACCTCCCTACAAAGAGTCGGACTCTGCTACTATCGAATGGCTTAGGCAGCTTTCTAGAACTTTGGCACAAACTCTGTAACACCCCCCCTTACCCTTGCATCTTTCTTATCTTCAAAAACAGTACCATACAGAAGACACGGTCAAGTTCTGTTTGCAAGTTGAGATGTATCTTGTGCCCTGACCCAGTCAAAACACTTTCCTGGGCAGCCATTGTGGAGCAGAGAATCCCCCTGCGGTAGCATTCTCAATTTCAGCTCTCTGTTTTCACAACTTGGAGCCTTAGATGGGTGGGTCTTGCCTTCTGGGCACCTTCTCTATTATCCCAATGCAGAGCAAGAGGCGCACCTGGGATGGTGTTAATGTCTTCAGCAATTTCAGATGCTTTGTCTACATCCTCCTTGCTTGTGCCTTTAAATTTGCTCTCACCCCTTCCTCACCAAACCAAACATTTCCCCTGTCTTTCTGTCTTTTGCTAAGTATCTGAGTAAAAGCAGTGAGCATTAACCATATCACAGTCTGAATGCTGCCGTGCCTTAAATTTCCTCCACCAAACAAGTGAGTTCTTTTTTTTTTAATTTCTTTTCTTTTTTTTTTTTTTGTTTTTGGTTTTTTGTTTTTCGAGATAGGGTTTCTCTGTGGCTTTGGAGCCTGTCCTGGAACTAGCTCTATAGACCAGGCTGGTCTCGAACTCACAGAGATCCGCCTACCTCTGCCTCCCGAGTGCTGGGATTAAAGGCGTGCGCCACCATCGCCCGGCTACAAGTGAGTTCTTTTTAAAAAAAAAAAATACTTATTTATTTATTATGTATACAATATTCAGACTACATGTATGCCTACAGGCCAGAAGAGGGCACCAGACCTCATTACAGATCGTTGTGAGCCACCATGTGGTTGCTGGGAATTGAACTCAGGACCTTTGGAAAAACAGGCAATGCTCTTAGCTGCTGAGCCATCTCTCCAGCCCCCACAAGTGAGTCTTTTACTGTAAAATTGTCTCACCCGAGTTCTCAGTACATGGACAGAATGCAGCCTGATTCTTTGCGAGAATGTAATCCAGATGGCTTCAGCCCAGTTCTTGACAGGGTCCTTGTTCGCTGTGAAAGCCCATAAGCAGGTCTCCACTAGCCACAGTTCCTTTGGGATTCCAGCCTTCTGAATTCCCATCAGAATGGCGTAAGTAAGCTCTGCTTACTGCATTCCAGAGCTTCTCTAAGCAACTTCCATATTCCTCCCGAAAACCAGTTCCAAAGGACCACATGGTCACATTTATTACAGCAATAACCTGACTCCTGGGTACCAGTTTCAGCATTACTTAATTTTCTTCTCCTTATGGCAAAGGCAAACTTAAGGAAGGAAAGGTTTCTTTCTGCTCACAGTTTGAGAGGACAGTCCGCCATGGCAGGGAAGTGTGAAGGCAAGAGCATGAGACAGCTGATCACATCTGCATTCAGGAAGCAGAGATGGATGCTCTACTTTTCTCATAGAACGCAGTGTGTGTGTGTGTGTGTGTGTGTGTGTGTGTGTGTGTTCACACGTGTGTGTACATTCATGTGTCTGTGTGGGTACATTTACGTGTGTGTGTGTGTGTGTGTGCATTTGAGTGTGTGTGTGTATGCGTGCCTTAGTCACTGTTCTGTTGATGTGAAGACACAACCAAGGCAACAACTGTAAGAACAAGCATTTAGTTGGGGACTTACTTACAGTTTCAGAGCTTTAGTCTGTTATTGTCATGACAGGAAGAATGTAGGCATGCAAGCAGATGCTGAAGCAGTTGTTGAGAAACTACATCCTGATACATAGATACACATACAGAGAGAGAGACAGAGACAGAGAGACAGAGACAGACAGAGACAGAGAGAGAGACAGAGACAGAGAGACAGAGACAGAGAGAGAGAGACTGACGACTCTGGGCTTGGCTTGGGCTTTTCAAACTTCGAAGTCCACCCCCAGTGACCCTCTTCCTCCAAGACTACATCTCCTAATCCTTCTGTCAAAGGGTTCCACTGCCTGGTGACAAAGCATTCAAATAGATGAGTCTATGGGGGCCATTTCTATTCAAACTACCACAGTGAGCATTCGTGTGTCTGCATTCATGAATGTTAGTGTGGGCCTGTACTTGCTCTAGCAAGTGTATACAGGTCAGAAGGCAATCTTTGGTGCTGGTCCTCAGCACTTGTTGAGGCAGGGTCTCTCCATATGCCAGGCTTGCTATCCCTGAAGCTTTGGGGGTTCTTTTTTCTCCACCTCCCATCTCACTGTGGGAACCCTGGGGTTATTGATATGCCCATGGGATTATGTGGGTTCTGGGGTTCAAACCCATCACCTCATGCTTACACAGTAAGTGTTTTCTACCCATTGAGCCATCCCTTTAACGGGGGAACACCATTCTGACTTAAAGAATCACTAGGGAGGAAACAATGGCTATTCTGTGGTTTTGGTGAAGTTTTTTTTTTTTTTAATTAAATGAAGGGAACTGTCACTTCCAGGAAAACTGCTGATTATATTTGTTACTCAATGATAAAATGAGCTTTCATGTTAAACAAAATTTGGACAAAAGCCCGTCCTGTTGCCCCATGCTTAACCAGTGTTGATGAGAAAGCTGGTGGGATTAATACGGTGCTTGATACCATGTAATAAAGTGTGTCCTCACAGCCGGGCAGTGGTGCTGCACGCCTTTAATCCCACACTCAGGAGGCAGAGTCAGGCAGATCTCTGTGAGTTTCAGGCCAGCCTGGTCTACAAGAGCTAGTTCCAGGACAGCCAGGGCTACACAGAGAAATCTGTCTCATGAAAAAAAAATCTTTTCCCATTCTGTAGGCTGTTGTTTTGTCTTGTTGACCGTGTCCTTTGCTTTACAGAAGCTTTTCAGTTTCAGTTTCCATTTATTAATTGTTTCTTTCAGTATCTGTACTACTGGGGTTATATTTAGGAAGAGGTCTCCTGTGCCAATGTGTTCAAATGTACTTCCCACTTTCTCTTCTATGAGGTTCAGTGTGGCTGGCTTTATGTTGAGGTCTTTGATCCATCTGGACTTGAGCTTTGGGTGCACACCTTTAATTCCAGCATTCAGGAGGTAGAGGCAGGAAACTCAGAAGGCCAGGGCTATTCTTGGCTACATAGTGAGTACCCTACTCTGGGTACCAACTTCAAGGCCTGTCTTCAATATTTGCAACCCTGTCTCAAAAAAAAACAACGGAGGAAAGAAAAGGAAAAAAGAAAGAATGGTACTTCAGCAAAAATATGCACTGTGGGGCTGGAGAGATGGCTCAGAGGTTAAGAGCACTGGCTGCTCTTCCAGAGGTCCTGAGTTCAATTCCCAGCAACCACATGGTGGTTCACAACCATTTGTAATGGGATCTGGTGCCCTCTTCTGGCAGAACACTGTATACTTAATAAATAAATAAAATCTTTAAAAAAAATATGCACTGTTTTCAAAGCCTTCCTCTGTCCTCGTCCTTTATTCCTATGAGAGAGAGCAATAAAAAACAGTGCTTTGAATTTGGCAAGGTCTTTAGAAACATCTCACAGAGTGCTCATTTGGCGGGGTCATCATAAAATATGAGCGAGAGTGTGTTCAATCTTCTTTTTGTATCTTTCAGTTTTGTCTCAAAATATGCATAGCTTTTACAAAAGCAGGGACACATTCTTCTTTTGTGTAGATATGTATGTGGTGCTGGGAATCAGTCCCAAGGTCTTTGCACGCTAGCAAATGTTCTGCTGTTGAGCTACATCCTCAGCCTAAGTAGGAGCTCACCAGACAGATTGTCACATACATCCCGCCTGTCCCCTTTCATTTCTCCATGAATTAGACACCTCCGCCATGTGATCAACACACATTTTCAGTGTCTCTTCCAGTTCTGTTTATATATAACTGCAATGTATTTGATTCACATTGTCAAAGATCTAGATTTGAAAATGACACATATTCTCTTTTTTAGACAATTTTATATTTGTGTGTGTGCGTGCACTCACGGATGTACCACAGTGTGTGTGTGGAGGTCAGAGGACAACTTGTGGGAACCGGGTCTCTTCTTCCACCTGTTGTGGGAGACCAGGGTTGTAGCTCGGGTCGTCAGGCTCGGTGACCAACACCTTTCCCCTCTAAGCCATTTTACCAGCCCTGGTTGTTTTTGTTTTTTTTTTTTTTTTTTTTTTTTTTTTTTTTTTTTTTTTTTTTTAGGCAGAGTCTACATAGCCCTGGATATCCTGAAACTCACTGTATATCCCAAGTGCTGGAATTAAAGGCAAGTACTGTTTTTCATAGTCAGCTCCAGCCCTGTTTTTGAGACTGGTTCTCACTCTGTATCTCAGCAGCCCAGATTGGTGTCAAAATCACAGCAATGATTTTGCCTCAGCCTCTTCCAAGTGCTGAGCTTACAGGGTTATCAAACTCATACTAGAAACGTTCCTTTCTTTCTTTTTTGTTTTTGAGACAGGGTTTCTCTGTGTAACAGTCCTAGTTGTTCTGGGATTAAAGGCTTGCGCCACCACCGCCAAGCTCCTGCTTCTTTTTGAGCCTGTCTCACGTTGTCCAGACTGGCCTTGAACTAATCCTCCCGCTTTACTTCTGAGCACTGGGATTGCTTCAGCCCCTCTCCTCCCCAATCCGACGCTTCAGTGTTGTGTATACTTTACACTGAGCTAAAGTTATCACCGTTTACAAATTTTTAGGGTTTTGTTTTTAGAGCAAGGTTTCTCTGTTCTGGAACTCCTTGTAGACCAGCTTCCGCCTCTCCAGTGCTGGGATTAAAGGCGTGTGCCACCACCGCTCCACAATTTTTAAGATTTTATGTGCATGAATGCTTTGCCTATATGTCTATATGTGTCCAAAGAAGGGGTCAGTACTGAAATAAAGTCATACTAGGCATGGTACCGTTCATCTGTAATCCCATTAAGTAGGAAGCTGAAACAGGAAGATGGTTAAGTTTGAAGCCAGCCTAGACTTGATGACAAGACCCTGTCTCAAACCAACATGGGGTTATTTGTGCCAGTCCTTCCAAAAATAACTATAGGGCTAAGAGGTTAAGAAAAATGGTGATTGGGCCGGGCGGTGGTGGCGCACGCCTTTAATCCCAGCACTCGGGAGGCAGAGGCAGGCGGATCTCTGTGAGTTCGAGACCAGCCTGGTCTACAAGAGCTAGTTCCAGGACAGGCTCCAAAACCACAGAGAAACCCTGTCTCGAAAAACCAAAAAAAAAAAAAAAAAAAGAAAAGAAAAATGGTGATTTTGTTGTTTGTGGCTGTGTGTGTGTGTGTGTGTGTGTAGTGGGGAGTTGGTTGGTTCTAAAACAAGGTCTCACTCTGTAGCCCTAGCTGGCCTGAAACTCTGTTCTCAAACTCCCAAGGATCTGCCTGCTTCTACCTCCTGACTTGCTCGGGTTAAAAGCTGCACTACTACGCTCAAAAAGAGTACATGGATTCTTGGTTGAGATTAAAGTTGGTATTTGCTTTAATATATGTGTTTTGTAGTTGAAAAAGAGTTTTGAGCCGGGCGGTGGTGGTGCACGTCTTTAATCCCAGCTCGCAGCAGGCAGAGGCAGGTGGATCTCTGTGAGTTCGAGGCCAGTCTGGTCTACAAGAGGACAGGACAGGTTCCAAAGCTACAGAGAAACCCTATCTCGAAAAACCAAAAAGAAAAAAGAAAAAGAGTTTAAATAGATTACTCGTGACATTTCTAAAACCCAGTTTTTTAATAGCATACAAGGAGGAAAGAGACTGTGCTGTCTCTGAGAGCAGAACACAATCTGCAGTTAACTTGTAAAGCGGTCTCCTCCCTACCACTCGCGGACTTCCCAGAGTCCCTAGCAGCGCGGCTCGGAGGCTTATGGGAATTGTAGTCCTGAGGCCCGCGTCACTACTCCGAGGACTCTGGGTACCGCCGCCCGCGCTACAGTCTGCGCGCTTGCGCGAACGAACGGGCAATCGCCCTTCCCCCACCTGCCGTCGCGAGTGGGTAACAGGGCCCCCTTTCCATGCGCTTCGTGACCCGGAACCGCGGGTGGATGCTAAACCCCTCCAGGTATGTCTGCAAGGCCTGGGATGCGCGGGCCCGAGAGACGGGTCGTGTCCGCGCCAGGGTGGAAACCTCGCGGGCCGTGGCGACTCCCGTGCGTAGGTTCGGGCCTCGAGCCCTTCTAAGTTGGTCCCTGTGGGCTGCTCCCGGCGGACGCGTGCGGGGTTGAAGGAGGACGGGCAGGTGCAGTGCTCCAGCCTTCCTTTGTCAGGAGACACGCCTCTGCCCAGCTTCGCGGGGTTCAGGCCGCGCGGGAGTCCGGAAGCCCGGCGGGCGCGCGCGTGACCCTCCACAGGGGTGTGGGGGCGGGGCCCACTCCGCTGGCCACGCCCCCGGAGCCACCTTAGCGGGCTCCGGGAGCCTCCGATTCCCTCGCGGCGCCTGGTGTTTCCAGTTATATCATCACGGAATAATCGCGTCTACTCCGTTACTTCCGGTTTGAGGCACAGTGTGAACAGAATTTTCTTGTTTTTCTGAAATTGACTTTTCTGGGTAGTTCGGGTTAGCCTGCAGCTTGCTGTGTAAGCCCATGCTGGCCTCGAACTCTGTAAATCTGTCCAGCTTCACCTCTATTTTTTTGATTAGAGTTTTGCTTTTTACTTATTTTTTATAAAGTTTTCACACAGGTATATATGGTATATTAAGCATACCCCCCATATCTCTTACTGGCTTTTTAAAATCCTCCTCACCTGTTCCCTTTTCCCCATAGTTTCATTTCTGTCCATGATTCTATGCATCTCTATAAATATCTAAGAACTGCGAGTCAGAGAAAACGTGATGTTTTTCTGAGATTAATTTGTTTAATATGATTATATCCAGTTGCTTCCATTTTCCTGCAAATGTCATAAACTTTGTTCTTTATGGTTGGAAAAATTCTGTTGTGGGGTTAGTGAGACGGCTGGCTTGGTAAGGACACCTCCGGCCAGTGCTGAAAATCTTGAGTTTGAGCCCTGGACCCCATGGTAGGAGAGAACTAGAGAACTGAACGCTGGTCTCTGACCTCCCCATGCACATGTGTGCACGAACATACACACACACGCTCAGGTGAAGAAGTGTAAGAGTCCCATTGTGGAAGCCTGTCATATCCGTTCCTCTGTTGTTGGCCACCTGTGCTGGTTCATGATAGCTGTAATAATAGCATGTAAATAATGCTGAAAAACCCACTAATGTGGGTAAAAACCTAGAAGTGGTATAGCTGAGCCATATGGAAGATCTGTCGTTAGTTTCTGGAGAAACCTTCACTGGTTTCCATAGAGCTTGGACATTCAGTCCCACGGGCAGTGTATAAAGGTCCCGTTTGTCCACAGTCTTGCCAGCATTTCTTGGTTTTGTTTGTTTTTAATGACTGCTATTTTGACTAGGGTAAATGGAATCTCATTGTAGTTTTGATTTGTGTATCGTGGCTGGTGGGTTTGAACACTTTTTCATTGACTATTTGTATTTTACCTTATTTCTTTATGTTTGAGTGTTCTGGCTGCATGTAGAATTTTATGTCAGAAGAGGTCATCAGGTCCCACTATGGATGGTTGTGAGCCGCTATGTGGTTGCTGGGCCCCTGAAAGAGCAGCCAGTGCTCTTAACCACTGAGCCATCTCTCCAGCCCCATATTTTATATTTTAAGAACCACTTTGTTGATCAAAGTTGTAGGAGGTGGAAATCTTTTCTTCTCAAAGTCTGGGCTGTTGTGACCGCCAGTATTTTATCTGCTTCAGCTGTCCAGGTTGCCCACTTGGTGGCTTTCTCTGCCAAGTATTTCCTTTGCTTGTGAAAGAGTTGTCTTTTTAAGCCAGGTGGTGATGATGTACACCTTTAATCCCAGCATTTGGGAGGCAGAGGCAGGTGGATCTCTGTGAGTTCAAGGCCAGCCTGGTCTACAGCATGAATTCCAGGACAGGCTCCAAAGCTACATAGAAACCTTGTCTTGAAAATCAAAACAAAATGAAAAGAGTTATCTTTTTTAATCCTTACAAGTGAGTAATGGCTGCATTTGAGGTAGCATCAGTACTGCTAGCAAGATGACGTCAGTTCCTTCGTTTCTTAGGGAGCTCTTGACCATTAATTAATCCTTTATTCCCAAATGGTCACATGGGCCTGTAGTACCAAAGACTCACAGGTAGAGTCAGCTTAAATATTTACTGGCTGTCCTGGAACTCATCTACCTGCCTCTGCCTCCGGAGTGCTAGGATTAAAGGCCTGGACCACCACCGCCCAATACTTTGGCAGGTTTTTAAGGTGAGGTCAGGAGTGTCATAGCTGGGTGTGATGTTGTGTTAATCTTCAGTTGTTTAGCCAGTGGCGAACCTTTGTTTTTTTATTTTTGTCTGTTGGTTTTGGTTTTTTTGTAGTAGTTTGTTTTATTTAAGACAGGGTTTCTCTGTGTAGCCCCGACTGTCCTGAACTCACTCTGTAGATCAGTACCTTATCTTTGGGGACTGTCATTGTTGGGTCCGGGAGTCACACAGAAGCAAGCTTTATTCCAGAAATAGAAAGAAAAAAATCACCATGGGGCACACAAAGCTTATCAGCTATAGCTCTGACCACAGCCAGAGACTGGGCTTCTGGAGCTGTGCGGTGGGGGCCGGTTTGGGGCCTCCTCTTATAGGAAAATCAGGCACAGGGGTGGGTCAAAGAGCTTTTACAGCTCGAGGTCAGGCTTAAAGCCACACTGGATTTGCACAACTTCTGGTTGTAGGACATTAGAATGTTAAGTTAGCTTGTGGCTGACACAGCTGCTTTTCACTGTCCCTGAAAGAATGCAAGGCAGAGAGTAGAGTCACATACGGGAACAGTTAAAAATTAAGGGGATACAAGCAGAAGGTCCCATAGAGGCAACAGTTAGAAGTTAACCTTTATCTGCAGTACCTGCCTATCTGGGAAGCTGGGAGGCAGGAGACAATTGTAAAATGTTTACCTCTGTGCACGGTGGCTGCCAGGGTGTCTGCTCTTAAGGCAGAAAATGTTTGTTAAAGGTTAATAGTGGCTGCCAGCTTTTTTTTTTTTTCACCCAAAATGTGTTTGCGCTTACAACTTTATATTTCTGTATTCCAGGACTGAACCCTTTATTTCTGTATTCTATTCCTGGACTCTTCATTCCGACATAGGTTTTGATGTTTCACTTTTAAGCCACTGGACCAGGTGCTTCATAGACCTTTGGGATTGTTTTGGAGTAGAGTGGGAGAGTTTGGAACTTAGGGTTAGAGAAGTCCTAAGATGGTGTAAGCAGAACGAAGTGGGCCATTCTAGTTCAGAGGACTAGAATGCCCAGAGAAAGGGGGCTGGAGACATGACTCAGCAGTTTAGAGCGCTTCCTGCTTTTGCTGAGAACACAGCTTCAGTTTCTAGCAACCATGTTGGGTGGTTTCAGGGAATCCAACACCTGCTTCTGGCCTCTTCTGGTACCCACACTCAGAGCATGTACTCATAGACATACACACATATGCAAAAATAAAAATAAATCCTTAAGAAAGTGAGACAAAGATAGAGAAACATAGATAATGAAGGCCTCTGGCTATGAGGTTTCAGAGGGAGGCAAGGACTTCTCTGAAATGGGGCCAGAGGCCATTTATGTCATATTCTGGCCAAGAACTGGGCTGCTTTCTGTCTATATCCTGAGAATTTGAGTGAGGCTGAATTCAGCAGTAATGGACTATTTTGTTTGGTGGAGGATGTCTGAAGACAGGATGGGGGCAGAAGAGGTGGCTTAGTGGTTAAGACACTGGCTGCTCTTCCAGAGCACCTGGATTCAATTCCTAGTGTTGTCTTCTGGATGACATTCAGACTATAGCGAGGTTACTGCTCGCTCTTCTTATCTCAGTGAGAGAGAGCAGAAAGATAGCAAAACTATGTGGTTTGCTGGGGAAAGGAGGGGGCTTAAAGTTGTAGGCTGCAAAGCAAATGCTGAGATATAGCTGCAGTTGTTAGAGATAAGGGAGACCTGTTCTGCACCGAGATAGTAGGAACAGTGCTCTAGGGGCAAAGTGCCCCCCTCGCAAAGGTTCCAGCTTGTAACAAAAGAGAGCCTAAACTGGGGGTGCCACTGAAGGAGTCCTCTGTCTGAAAACCACTACCTGGGGAGGTGTTTCCTCCAGGTAAGCTTGGAAGGCAGACAGGTGGCACAAGCATGGCTCGAGGGGGCCAAGCTACGTCTCCAGCAGGAAGCAGGTTTTGGCATCGTGGCATAGGTATGATAGATGCCAAGAGTAAGGCTCACGGAGGCTTGTGACAAGTCTGGAAGACTTCTGAGGCCAAGCAGTGTGGCCATTGTGGGAAGTTAGGAAGGTTGTCAGGTCCACAGGAAACTCCCAATTCCCCAAACTCCAGAAAAAAAAAAATAAGCAGAGGAACATAAGACTAGTCAGTGTAACAGCCCTGGCTGTTCTGGAACTCACTCTGTAGAGCAGGCTGGCCTCGAAATCAGAGATCTGCTTGCCTCTGCCTCCCGAGTGCTGGGATTAAAGGTGTGCGCCACCACTGCCTGGCTCACTTACACTTTTGGACAGTGTTGGAATTGTTAAAGACAACAGGTACTTCTGAGGTTAGACTGCATGAACGCATTTTGCATCATGAGATGGCCATGAGCCGATAAGGACAAGAGGTGGAAACTGGGGCTTAAAGTAGTATGTTTGTTGGGTTGACAAGTGGGAGACTAATCACTAGATAGAGTTTAGAATTGCCTGGAAGAACCTCTAGGCATGTCCATGAGAAAGTTTCTATATTGACTTAGTTGAGTGGAAAGACTCACCCATGGCCAGGGACCCAGGACTGAGTAAAAAGGAGAAAGAAGTAAGTCAGCGTGTGCCACTGTTCTCTGACAGTGGGCCCAGTGTCATCAGTGGCCTCATGCTGCACGCTGTGACTCCTCTGTCACGATGGACTGTACTCAAAATGTGAGCCCTGAGGAGCCCCTTCCGCAAGCTGCTTTTGTCTGGGCCTTAGTCCCAGCAATGAGAAGAGCAGCCAGTACACTTGCCTTTCTCAGAAAATGTTGACGTTGTCTCTCCACTTGAAGGAAGGGCAGTGAGGTGGCTGTCAACTCTGTCTGCCAAAACTCAGGTTTCTGGTGTTAGAGCAAAACCAAGATTCTGTACTTGTGAGAAGGCATCAGGGCCTGGCAGGAGGAGACCTTATAACTGGTCATGTGACCATCCCTCAACCTTGGGTCCTTTTGCTTAATTCCAGCTAGAAATTAGGAAGAGGCCAGTACCATCGTCCAGAGTAGTCTTCGTGGGGCTTATGTTGGAGCTTCTGGAGAGAGCATGTGGAAGGCTCTTTGGGTTGTTCTCTCAGAAAGCGATGAGTTAAAACTCGGCTGTTTTGAGCAGGGTGGGGTTTCTGCACGAATATTGTTATTTGAGACAGCAAACCCAGGCTAGCTCACACCAGCCTAGATGAAACTTACTTTGTACACTGCTCTTACCTGGAAAGAAATTACCTGTAGCGCTGGCTGGCCTTGAACTCAGGGCAATGGTCCTGCCTCAGCCTTCTAACTGCTGGAGTTGTAGGTGTGAATAACCACCCCAGCTTTCATGAATGCACAGCCAGGTGGTCTGCTCTGAGCGCTTGCTATCGGCACACCCACCAGGAAGCTTATGTATAGGTCAGGAGCAGACAGTCTGCATGGAAAAGCTTCAGGGAGGGGAAGTCCCTTTTCGGGCTTTGAAGGGAGTGGGTACAGGGCTACAGTAGGATGCATATGCAGCTAAACCTTGCTTCTCGTTAGAACCAGAAAATACAGATGGGGAATCAGGCCTGCCTTACTGCCTCATATCAGATCATAAAAACCTTCATGATTCCAGGCTTTCCCATGGTCCTTGTCACTTGTTTCCGTCTTTTGTTATCAAAATTTAGCAGCATTTATAATATTCACGTTACACGTATCAATTTGTGTATGGATGTGGGCACTTGCATGGGGCTCAGAGGTCATCTTGGGAGTTCTCTTCTTCCACCGTGAGCTCGGTGCTATGTGTCACTCAGCACAGTTACTGGGGAGCCAGCTCACCGGCCTTTCTAATTTTTGTAAGGCAGCCTTAACTTTATTTCTGTGTTAGGCAGCCTTAACTTTATTTCTGTGAAGTATTTTATTGGAAATGGAATCTTTTTTTTTCCCTTTGTAGATTTGGGACCACCTCTTTTTTTCTTCTTTTGCTTTATTCTTCTCTTATACAATGCATCCCGACCACAGCCTCCCTCCTTTCCTCCCTTTCTCTCAGCCCCCCCCCCATCTTCCCTTTCCCCCCATATCCACTGTTTCTGTTTCCCTTCAGAAAAGAGTAGGCCTTCCAGACATATCAACCAAAGATGTTACAGGAAGCAGGGCCCCTTGTTCCAGCCGCCTGGCTAGCTTACACCTGAAATAATCACACAGAAACTGTATTAATTAAAACACTGCTTGGCCATTAGCTTTAGCCTCCTATTTGGCTAACTCTTACATCTTGATTTAACCCATTTTTATTATTCTGTGTTCACTACGAGGTCGTGGCTTATCGGGAAAGATTTAGCATTTCTGACCTGGCATCTCCATGGCAGCTCTCTCACTCTGCTTTCTTCCTCCCAGAATTCAGTTCTGTCTTCCCCAACTACCTAAGTTCTGCCCTATCAGGCCAAGCAGTTTCTTTATTGATTAACCAATGAAAGCAACACAAACAGAAGGACCTCATACACCAACAAGATGCAGTAAAATTTAGCATAAACCTTCCTTAGGTCAGGACAGTGTGACCAGTAGAAGGAAGAGGACCCACGAGCAGGCAAAGAGTCAGAGGCACCCCACCCCCACTGTTAGGAGTCCCACAAAAGCCCCAAGCTAAAGGACTATACACAACATGCATGCAGAGGATCTAGGCCCACCCAGGCTCTACCATTGCTGCTTCAGTATCTGTGAGACCTATGAACCGTGCTTAGTTGATTCTATAGATCATGTTCTTCTTGGTGGCTTTGACCCCTCTAACTCCTACTAAAAGACCCCCTGAACACCCCCCCCCCCAGAACCCGCAGCTGGCCTGCTCCCATGAGAACATCCTGTTTGCTTAGGGAAACAGGATGCCTATAGTCAGCACATGTGCCCAACTTAGAATATCAGCAGTTCACAAAAGAAACAATTCCCCCTATGAAAGATCCCAGCTTAGCTGCTGTAATGTCATTTCACAAGGCTTTTGACGAACAAATGTAAGTGCAGAGTGAGGTCAGGGTCCCTGGCTGTAAAGCAGGATATCTATATCTATAGAATAGGACAGGACATCAATTAACAGGATGTCTGTTCCCATACATCTGTGCTGGGAAAGGAAAAACCACCTATGCCCCTTGCCCCATTCCAACTGACCACTAACCACGCATTTGCTTCTGTAATCTGCTTCTGCTGCCCTCTTTCCTATAAAAAGACCTTCCCCCAGTCTGCAGGCGCGCAAGTCCTCCAAAAGACTTTGCCGCCCACAGGTACCTGTGTTTACTTAATAAACCTCTTGCTAATTGCATCCAGTGGTCTGGACTCGGAGTGTCCTGGTTCTGGGGACTTCATTGGAGGAAAAGGTCCTCTCTGAGGGTCTTTCACTACAGTCCTTCCTCCCCCTCTACATGGGGGTTTCCAGAGTTCAACCTAGTGTTGGCTGTTGTTCTCTGCCTGTGCTTCCATCAGCTGCTGGAGGAAGCCTCTCTGATGATTGATTGGTCTAGGCACCTGTATTAGTTAGGGTTCTCTAGAGAGTCACAGAACTTAGAGAATGAGTCTCTCCCTTCCTCTCTCTCTCTCTAAGGGAATTTACTGAAATGACTTACAGATTGCAGTCCAACAATGGCTAGCTGTGAACAGAAAGTTCAAGAATCCAGGAGTTGCTCATTCCACAAGGCTGGATGTCTCAGCTGGTTTCTGTATGTGCTGGAATCCCAAAGAAGTAGGCTCCAGTGCCAGTGAAGGGATGGGTGTGCTGACAGGCTGGGCAAGGGCGGAAGAACCAAACACACCTCAAGGTTGGATCAAAGGCGAGTTGTCTTCATCAAGATCCAGATGTGTGGTCTTCCATTTCTGGATTATAGTTCATTCCTGATATAGTCAAGTTGACAACCAACAATAGCCATCACAGCATGAATCTATGAGTATAGCAGGGATCATTTCGTTGACTTTTGTTTTGGTCAGCCATCTTTGATTCTACCCTAGGTCCTAGCCATTCAGGCAGTATATGGGGCATAGGCTCCCTCTTGTGGTTAGTTTTATTGGTGTTACTGATCTTTCCATGTATGTGGCTCTGGTTTCCTTGCATTCTCCATTGTTAGAGATTTACGGATTTCTGCTCTTACATTTATCGTTCTCATCCTTATGCTGGCTTTGGGTTAATGCACTCTCGGTTTGGTGGGAAGAGGAGTAGGAGTGACCTAAGGCCATTAAGACATTTTAATGCACATCAGGTATTGTATCTCATTCTTGCCATCCCAGCACTTGGGAGCCTGAGGCAGGAGGATCATGAATTTGAGGTTAGCCTGGGCCAGATGATGAGGCCTTATCTCAAATAATAAAACAATCAGTTAGTAACTGAAGCTACTCTTTCTCAGATGTTTAAATGCTGTTTTCTTTGCTATTTAATTCCTTTGCAAGGGACTGTTTTAAGGATCCATCCAAGGCCTCATGCATGCTAAGAATTTCTACCTTTGTTCCAGTTAGTGTTTTGTTACGTGGCAGATGCCCGAGAGAAGCTCAAAGGACGAAGGGTTTATTGTGGTTCCTGGATGCAGTCAACGGTCCCTTGATTCTATCTCTTTAAATCTATGGTGACATTGAACATCATGGCAGAGTGTTGGGACCATTTGGAATCCTGGCCTCCAGCTGCTCTTCTCTGCTAGAGATCTTTATTTTCCTTCTGATTTGAGTTACTAAAGACTGTGTCAAAGTTGTTTACCAACTCTGCTTCACGAGCACGTGTTGCCTTGCCTTGAGGATCAGAGGATGAGGTTTTCACCTGTTGGCCCACCTGACTGTTGGGTATATAAGCCTCCGTGGTGCTATTGAATAAGGGGCTTCTTACCAGTGACTAGAGGGCCGTGTCTCTGTATCTCTGTGTGTTTCAACCTCCAGCCCCTTGCCCGAAGCTCGTGAACTGTGTGGTAGCGCTTAGAGCACAGACAGGCATTGTGCGCTGCAATCGTAGTTGCTTTAAATTCCTTATCTGACAGCCTCAGGGATTGGGGCTTTTTTGTCTTTTGATGGTGGAATTCTTATTCTTGCCCTATTGTGTGTGTGTCTCGTTGTGTTTAGCGGAAGGACATTGCCAGCATGCTTTTTCTGAAGAGGGGTGCTCCTTTCCCTGGGGTGTATATGCTTTCTAAACAACATTCTGGTTACCAGGCAGGTCAGATCCTTAATAACACGCTTCCTTTTCTTCCAGTTGTGCCTTTGTGCTTCAGTGCCTTTGCCAACCGCAGAAAATGATGGGGTCCCAGGTGAGTCCACTGCTTATTGCTCACTTGGTGTTTCGTTTCACTTTTGGAGCGTTATGTTTATGGAAAATGAAGTAGAAAGGATAAGAGTTAGCTTTGGGACAGAAAGATGGCTCAGTGGATGAGAGCTCTTGCACAAGCAGGAGGACCTGAATTTGATTGTAGTGGGCTCTGCCCCACTCCAGTGTCTCTAGCACTATGAGGGTCAGAGAAAGGATTGCTGGGGCTTTCTGGAAGCCTAGCTCCAGATTCAGTGAAACAACCCCATCAATCCTTGCCATTCTGGGGTAAGGGGTCCCTTCTGTTTTGAGAAGAAACGGTCAACCCTCAGACTCCCTATGTATTTAGAGTAGTGGTTCTCAGTCTCCTAATAATCTGACCCTTCAGCACAGTTCCTAATGTTGTGATGACCCCAACCATAAATCTTTATTTTTTATTTTTTTTTATTTTTTTTTTTTGGTTTTTCGAGACGGGGTTTCTCTGTGGTTTTGGTTTCTGTCCTGGAACTAGCTCTTGTAGACCAGGCTGGTCTCGAACTCACAGAGATCCGCCTGCCTCTGCCTCCCGAGTGCTGGAATTAAAGGCTTGCGCCACCACCGCCTGGCCTCCAACCATAAATCTTTATTGCCACTTCTTAGCTGTAATTTTGCTACTGTTAAGAATTGTAATGTAAATCTGTTTTCTGGTAGTCTTGGTTAACAACCCTGTAAAAGGGCCCTTGGACTCCAAAGGGATCATTACTCACAGGTTGAGAACCTAATGGGAACCTTAAAAGTTCAGCTTCTAAGGATCCCTCTCAGGGTTCAAAAAAAACTCTCCACAATAAGTGAAAGGAACTAAAACCTGAGGGTTAAGAAATCTACTTACAACACGTTCTTTCTTTCTGTCCCGGTCTCATTATTCTCTCTCCTTTGTACTCTATTCTGTTCTCCTGACTGTAATTTCTTAGCTCTAAGTCTGTCTCAATCCTAATTTCAATTTCAATTCTCTGCTCTATTTTTCTTCATTTCCCTATCTCTGCTAATTTCTGGGACGCTTTTGCTCTAACTTATGTTCCCACTTCTATCACCTCTCTTCGTTCTTACCCCGCTGTAAAGACCCACAAAACCTTGCAGGCAGAGGTAGCCAGGCAGCTCACATAAACAGACAAGGGAAGTTTGTGGCCCTTAGTGCTTTAGCATTTTTGTCAAATGTTAGCAAACTTCAGTGTTAGCTCTTAAGCCTGATGCTTGTCAGAGGCACCAGTTGAAGGCTTGTCTGCCTCTGGACTGTGGGTAGAGGGTTATTTTTCCTGCGAGTAAGACACAAGCAGTAAATCTCCAAAAGTCTTCAGTAAGCAGAGGTGAAGGTGAGGTGAGGAGTTGGGAATCTTTTAATGCAAGGTTAGTTTTAGGTCGTTGCTTTTCTTATCTATAAGTGAGGTAAAACCAAGGCACGCTTATTTCTTCTATGTGAGCAGCTATGAGTTAACAGCTCTGAGCAAGTAGTAATTCTGTGTCCTTGGATATATGGGAATGCCTTGAATGGAATGCTTTTGCCTAAACCTTAAACGCTGACCCAGTGCTTGTCAATAAAGATAATTGCAGGAAGGCAGATCTGTGTTTACAGAGAGAGGAGCAAAGACCTGGCAGTGCAGAGCAGATTCCTTGACTGTGGCTGTCTTCACACATAGCTCAAATAGTGCTGAACTGTGGGAGATAAATCCCAAATTTGTAACAGAAAGGGAGTCAGCTACAATGAAAAATCTATAGCAGAAAACAGCCACTTTATTTACAAAGCAGTAATCTCAAAAGCCCTGTGTTGTGTTTTAAAACTTTCACCCAAAGCCCCTAGCTCTGATGAATCACTCGTGAAATGAGAGCGGGCTGTCTAATTACTGCAAGACTCCTCAGTTCATAGCAAGAACCCTGGTTTAGATGACGACATGCTCCCAGGTGTCCCCAGGCCAGGAAAGAGGACGTGTGGTGTGAGTGTGCACACCTAGGCTAAGAAATGCACCGTCTGCTCCTGTGATGCCATCTCAGCCGAACCCTTCTAGCAGGTAGATTTTTAAATTTAATTACATTTTTGTGTGCATAGGGTTGGGGGTTGGTGGATTGTGGTAGACTATACAAGGTCAGTTTCTCCACCTTCTGGTGGAGAACTCAGATCTTCAGGCTTGAGTAAGTACCTTTACCCAAGAAACCATCTCTAGCTCTTTGTGTTCAGATTACATTAGCTAACGTCAAGCAAGAAGAGCCAACTCCAGCATTGCTGGTGGCAGTATAAAGGGCAGTGTTACTGTGAGCAGCGCATGGCACTCACTAGCAATGCTTAGCTAAGCCGTGTCTAGAAACTTTACTAGGAGACCCTTGTCTTAGTCTAGCTGTAGCTTTCCTAAAAGTTCACAGCGGCCCCATTTGGGGAAGCCATTGGCAAGGTCATGAGAAACATAACACAGGCCTTAACACTGCTGGTGCATCTGGCAGAATGCTCAGTATTTTTCCGCTTTGTTTACCACTTGACTGCTGGCTCTCAGGAATTAGTTTTAAAAGCAGACAGATTTGTAAGATGAATGGAGTACCCTCATCTGATCCAAGGCAGCACGGTGCAGGAGGGGGAGAGATGTCCTTAGTACATGTTCAAGACAAACCAGAGCAAGTGCATGGAAGACTCTGCATGTAGGCAGTCTGCCCTCACTTTAAAGTCTGGAACAGTGGCACAGGTATCTTGATGCTAGCCCTCAAAATGTCTGCTTCTGAGTTAGTTCCGGCCTGCACTAGAAACTGTCTGCTGTCATTAGAGAGTTACTGCTGTTCTGTAAACTCTATCCAGACACTGCCCTCGGCTCTTGCTTTGATTTGTCCCTATCTATGACCTTTTAAATTACTGTTTTATTGGTGCTTTTTTTTTTCTGAGACAGGGTCTCTCTTTGGCAGTGGTTCTCAACATGTGGGTTGGGACCCTTTGTGGGTAGCATATTGGATATTACATTACGATTTCCTAGTGGCGCAAATTGGATATTTAATTGATTTCATAGTGGTGCATATTGGATATTTACATTACGATTTCCTAGTGGTGCATATTGGATATTTAATTATGATTTCCTAGTGGCGCAGATTGGATATTTAATTATGATTTCATAGTGGTGCATATTGGATATTTAATTGATTTCATAGTGGTGCATATTGGATATTTACATTATGATTTCATAGTGGTAGCAAATTAGTTATGAAGTAGCAATGAAATAATTTTATGATCAGGGTCACCACAACCTGAGGAACTGTATTAAAGGGTCTCAGCATTAGGAGATACTGTGTCAGGTCCTGGCTGTCCAGGATGGCCCCAAACTCAGATCAGCCTGCCTCTGCTCTACCTCCTGATGCTGGGATTAAAGATGTACCCCTGCCTGCAGTGCGTTTCTTAATCGTGTCTTGAGAAAGGGTGAGAAATATACTTTTCAAAACTTGTATTTTTGAAAGGTCTTTATTTTCCTCGTTATTTGATGTAGACCTCTGCACCAATGTGGATTTGCCTCCTTCTAGCTTTTAGTTTTGAGACTGTTTCTCACTATGTAGCCCTGACTGGCTTGAAACTAAGATCTGCCTGCCTCTACCCCCAAATGCTGAGGCTGCAGGTGTGCACCACAACACCTGTCCTGAACAAAGGTGTTTGGACGCAGCACTGGCCAGCAGCACAGTTCATGGCAAACTCTTACAATGTGGCAGGAGTAAGTTTTCATACATCCTTTCTCTGTCTCCCAAAGTGAATCACGTGTCATTTCAGGGATCGGTTTCATTCACTGATGTAACTGTGGACTTCACCCAGGAGGAGTGGGAGCAGCTGGACCCCTCTCAGAGGATTCTGTACATGGATGTAATGCTGGAGAACTACAGCAATTTACTCTCCGTGGGTAAGGACGGCCTGGCAAACAAACCTGTAACCTGGGGGCAGGAGCTGGAGTTAGGATGGTCAGTTCAGACCTCACCAGGTGTAGATGGAGCTGCGGGCAGGCCTACTTTTTCGTCCTGCCTGGCTCCCGCATGGTTAGCTTAACGCCCGAAATAACACACATATTCATTCATATAAACACTGCCTGGCCCATTATATCTAGCCTCTTCTTGGCTAACTCTCATATCTTGCTTAACCCATTTCTAATAATCTATGTAGCACCACAAGGTGGTGTCTTACCGGGAAAGATTCAGCATGCCTGACCTGGCTGCTGGCTTCACTGCGTCTGACCCAGAGAGGAGAGGCATGGCATCTGGCTCACTTCCCTTCTTCCCAGCATTCTGTTCTGTCTATTCCACCCACCTATGGGCTGGCCTATCAAATGGGCAAGGCAGTTTCTTTATTAACCAATGAAATCAACAAATAGACAGATGACCCTTCACCATCAACCAGGGGAGCTATAGTTAGGATGTTCAGTTCAGACCTCACCAAGGGAGCTCTGAGTAGGAAAATAAAAAGCTAGGAGAAATGATGTCCCAGCTTTTGAACAGTTTGAGCACCTTTGAGATTTTTTTTTAAAATTTATTATGTATACAATATTCTGTCTATATGTATGCCTGCAGGCCAGAAGAGGCCACCAGACCTCATTACAGATGGTTGTGAGCCACCATGTGGTTGCTGGGAATTGAACTCAGGACCTTTGGAAGAGCAGGCGATGCTCTTAACCGCTGAGCCATCTCTCCAGCTCCCGAGATTTTTTTCTTAAGACAGGTTCTCACTTAAATGACCTTGGCTGGTCTTGAACTCAGAGATTACCTACCTCTAGCCCCTCCCACCCCAGTACTGGGCAAAGGTGTGTGGCCTGAGATAGGGTTTTTCATTTTTAGTTATTCAAGACAGGGTTTCCCTGTGTAACAGCACTAGCTGTCCTGGAACTCAATTTGTAGACCAATGGTCTCAAATTCACAGAGATCGCCTGCCTCTGCCTCCCAAGTGCTGGGATTAAAGGTGTGTCCCACCATGCCCAGGATCTTGCTGTCTACTTGAGAGGTGTCTTCAGAAACTTGCAGAGTGATTATATGTGCAGGCTGTAAGAAATGCTCACTTTAGAGTTACTTTGTGGGGCTGGAGAGTTGACTTAGCGGTCAGTGGTATATACAGTATGCTCTTGCAGAGGACTCGAGTTTGGTTCCCATCGCCCATGCTGGGCAGCTCATAAGCACCTGAAACACCATCTCCGGGGGATCTGAAGCTCTGGCTCCAATGGCACCTGTACGCAGACCCCACGTACAGACATTTAAAGAGATTCTTCTAGGACCAGTGGGACGGCTCAGGAGGTGAAGGTGCTTGCTTCCCTGCCAAGCCTGATGTCCTGAGTTTGATTCCTAGAGCCCATATTGGTGGAAGGAGGGCACCAGTCGGAGGTGGTTGCCCTTTGACCTCCACTCACATGCCATGGTAATGCATGTATGTGCACTCACACACCACACAAAAATAAAAGTAGAAATTGGGTATAGTGTGGCACACTTTTAATCCCGACACTGGGGAGGCAGAGGCAGGTAAATATCTGAGTTCAAGGCCAGCCTGGTTTACATGGAGAGTTCCAGACTAGCCAGGGCTACATAATGAAATGCTGTCTTTAAAAAAAGGGTGGTGGTGGGCTTCAGAGGTACTTCAGTGACTGGGAGTGCTGGCTGTCCTCCACCCAGTATGTGTTTATTCCTAGCATTTATGTGGAGGCTGAGGGCCTTCTGTAGCATGAGATCTCTTCTGACCTCTGTGGGCACTGCAAACATAGCATGCAAGTAAAACACCCGTATACATAAAAGTAAAAATTTTATGTATGGCTATTTTTGTCTGCCCATATGTCTGTGTACCATGCATGTGCCTGGTGCCCTCAGAGGCTAGATAGAAGAGAGCCATGGAATCTCCTGGGACTAGAGTCAGAGATAGTTATAAGCCACCATGTGGGTGCTGGGATTTGAACACAGGTCCTCTGGAACAATAGTCAGTGTTCTTAACCTCTGAACCATTATCTAGTCCGATTAAAAAAAAATTTTTTAGGGGCTGGAGAGATGGCTCAGTGGTTAAGAGCACTGACTGCTCTTCCAGGGGTCCTGAGTTCAATTCCCAGCAACCACATGGTGGCTCACAACCATCTGTAATGAGATCTGGTGCCCTCCTCTGGTGTATGGGCATACATGGAGACAGAATTGTTGTATACATAATAAATCTTAAAAAAAATTTTTTTTTAGGCCTGGCTGTGGTGGCTCACACCTTTAATCCCAGCACTCGGGAGGCAGAGGCAGGCGGATCTCTGTGAGTCCGAGGCCAGTCTGGTCTACAAGAGCAAGTTCCAGGACAGGCTCCAAAACCACAGAGAAACCCTGTCTCGAAACCCACCCCCAAAATATTTTTAATAAGTTATTTTTAGGGTTGGAGATTATACACGTGAATCCCAGAGCCCACAGAAATGCTGGGTGGTAGCTACCCTGTTCCATCCTTGGAATGGAGTGGAATATTAGCTACATCTGGGTTTGATTACCATCTATAACTTCAGTTCCAGGGAATCTGACACCTTCCTAGCCTCCATGGGTACTCAGCACACACATGGTGCACAGCCATACATACAAGCAAAATACCCACATATACTGGAAAAATGTTATTTTGGGGCCAGTTGTTGCTGCCCATACCTGTAATAAAGAGTCGCAAATCCTAGGCAAGCCTGATCTACGTAATGGAGCCCTGTCTCGAAGGGTGAAAACCAGCAGGGGCGAGCAGAGACCAGTGCTGGTGCCACTGTCGTCTGGAGCTGAAGCGCCAGTCACTGACTCTGCTCCCCATGACGTCACTGCCCATCTGCGTATTTTCTTGGTCTCCAGGCTGACTGTCCATTGTCCTCGAGGGTGCTATGAAATCCTTATCACAAAGTACTATCTTTACCATGGCATTTTATGCCAACTTTTGTTTTTGTATCATGGAGAGGAGGAATGCTGTTGAGACACTCTTTCTGTGTAGCCCAGGCTAGCCTTGGACTCAGGCTGGTCTTCTCAACCCAGCATCCTGGGTGTTAGGATTATGGACGTGAGCCACAACATTCAGATTTGACCTCTGTTTTTATTTTTTTCTGCCCACCTTTTTGTTTTGAGTTTCTATCCATAGCCCTGGCTGTCCTGGAACTCACTTTGTAGACCAGGCTGGCCTCAGACTCACAGAGATGGGATCAGAGATGGTGACAGCACTGCGCGGCTTTTTCTACTCACTTAAAGGTCATTTTGTCATCAGGAAATACCACCCCTACAATATATATTTATTTTCCTTTCCAAGCTTAAGAGATGAAAAATGTTTGCGTTGGATTTTTTTTCATGCTGAAAGACTGAGTCTGAACCCAGAGTTAGTTAGCTCTATGATGGGATCCCTTGTGGGGACTTCATACTCTAACAGAGAAGGCTTAAGAAAGTCCCTTTTAGCCGGGCGGTGGTGGCGCACACCTTTAATCCCAACACTTGGGAGGCAGAGGCAGGCGGATCTCTGTGAGTTCGAGACCAGCCTGGTTTATAAGAGCTAGGCTCCAGGACAGGCTCCAAGATATACAGAGAAACTGTCTTGAAAAACAAAATTCCTTTCACTGTGTTTTGTCCTAGAAGTGTGGAGGGCCGATGACCAGATGGAGAAGGACCCCAGGGACCCAGATGAACAGATGAAGCCACGTATAACCCTCAAGAACCAACCACCAATTGAAGAAAGAGGAGGTCTTTTTGGAAAGACATTAAATCTGAACACGGACTTTGTTTCATTAACACAAGTTCCCTATAAGTACGACTTACATGAAAAGACTTTGAAATGGAATTCCGACTTACTCAGCAGTGAAAGCTGTGTGAGGAGGAAGGGCGAGGAGCGCAGTGGGTTTGGGAAGCCACTTCTGTACCTGAAGCAAGAAAGGCCCCGTGCCGGAGTAGAGTACTCGGGATACAGCGGGCATGGGAAGGCTCTGAGCCATAAAGAAGTCGTCTTCAAACATCAGAAAATGAAGAGTTTGGTTCAGCCTTTTGTCTGCAACTACTGCGACAAAGCCTTCTCCTTCAAGTCGCTCCTCGTTAGCCACAAGAGGATACACACGGGAGAAAAACCCTACGAGTGTAACGTGTGCAAGAAAACCTTCTCCCATAAGGCAAACCTCATCAAACACCAGAGAATTCATACCGGAGAGAAACCGTTTGAGTGTCCTGAGTGCGGAAAAGCGTTTACCCACCAGTCAAACCTTATTGTTCACCAGAGAGCGCATATGGAGAAGAAGCCGTATGAGTGCAGCGAGTGTGGAAAGACATTTGCTCAGAAGTTTGAACTCACCACACACCAGAGAATTCACACAGGAGAGCGACCCTATGAGTGCAACGAGTGTGCAAAAACCTTCTTTAAGAAATCAAACCTCATCATACATCAGAAAATTCACACGGGGGAGAAACGCTATGAGTGCAGCGAGTGCGGCAAGTCGTTTATCCAGAACTCCCAGCTCATCATCCACATGAGAACTCACACTGGGGAGAAGCCCTACGAGTGTACTGAATGCGGCAAAACCTTTAGCCAGAGGTCAACGCTCAGACTGCATTTGAGAATCCACACGGGAGAAAAACCCTACGAGTGTACTGAATGTGGGAAGGCCTTCAGCAGAAAGTCTCGACTCAGCGTCCATCAGAGGGTCCACACAGGCTAGGTCCTGCAGCCCCAGTCAGATTATACCGTGGACAGCCATCAAAGCAGAATTCTTCCATCGAGGGAGAAACCTTGATGAAGAATACTGAAGGAACTTGGGGAATTGTATTGAGATGCAAACTAACTCAAAAAAACTTAAGAGGAAAGGATACCATAAGAATATATTCAAAATTAGTATCCATATGTATTTCAGACATGTATCTCCAGATCCAATTGTGAATAGATACACCCAGCTCTATTTCTATGAGCTTTCTTGATTTTTGTGCTGCTGGGACTCAGACCTAGGGTCTTGCCTGTGCTAGGCTGGTTTTTTTTTAACCACTGATCTACATCCCCAGTCTACAGTGATCTTTTTAAAATTTTGAATTGAATATTCTAGGAGGAGAAATAAATTGTTTTAAATCTGTTAAGTTTAACAGCTGCTGGGAATTTGAAATTCTCATCTATGAAATTGCATCACAGTAAACAAGGTTTTCCATACTCAACATCACATATGCACCACAGAACCTTTCCAGCCTAGTGTGCATCCAGAAGAACCATGGGATAGGCCTTCAAGTAGCATGTAGCCTGCTTCCTCTGCAGCCAGCTCATACACGTTGGTGTGGCCCTTGTTAATGAGCTGTTGGTTTTAACTTGGTTCTGGGTTTGAAGATGTTCCAGAGCATTATTTATAGAAATATGCAAAGGTGTGAGGTAATTGATCTAGAGAGTGGAAGAGGCAGCTGTGAACTCTGTCTTGGCACCTGTTACAGAATAGAGCTGTGCTGGGCAGGCAGTTCCTCCTCTGCCATGCTCTTGTTACAGAATAGAGCTGTGCTGGGCAGGCAGTTCCTCCTCTGCCATGTTCTTGTTCTTCCTCCCTGAGATGTTTACATACAAGTGCATGCCTGCTCCAAAATTCTGTGTACCCCAGAAAACTATTTTTGTATGTTTCTGTCTTCCTCTTCATGCTTTATGGATTGTCCCACAAAAATAATGGGTAGGGTGCCTGTGTAGCTTACAAATGTTACATTTCAGAGACAAAAAAGTGTCAAGAGCTGTTTCACTGCTTTTTATAGTTTCAGGTGTGATCCTCTTCAGAGATGTGCTCTCGCTGTGTCCTTTAAAGGAAGTATTTCTGCTTTCTCCCCATATGACACTGCCTTTGGGACCCGGCTTAGCCTTAGCTGTCACCCCGCCTTTTGGTGTTCAAGCACTTTATAAGAGTGTTTTCTACTGCAATGACAAAACACCGTGACCACGGCAGCTTTAAAAGAAGGTATTTGAGGCTCACAGTTCCATGGTTAGAGTCCCATGGCCATTGGGAGAGGACGGGGTGTGGGAGCAGGCAGGCATGATGGAGCGTAGCTTAGAGCTCACCTCTTGGGACACAAGCACAGGAGCAAGCTAACCAGGAGCCACCTCCAGGGACACACCTCAGCTTTACCAAATAGTTCCACCAACTGAGACCAGTATTCAAACCTGTGAACCTACAGAGGCCGTTCTCATTCAAACCACCAAAATGTTCGACATCGGTGGGCTCCATATGTTGGCATTTACAAAGTTAGGGGTTTTTCCAGGTGCGATGCTCCATGCCTTTAATCCCACGGGAGGCAGAAGCAGGTGGTCTGAGCTGGAAACCAGTCTGGTCTACACAGTGAGAGACCCTGTCTGCAAACAAATGTTTTATATAACTGAAAGATGATCATTTGAAGTTTGATTCCAAATCACAAGCTCAGCTTTTTCATTGTGCATTAGAATTATAAATGGAAATCACAACTGGATTTCTGTATTTAATAACTTGGCATGTATGGGTGTTTTACCTGTATGTATTATCTGTGCACTGTGTGCATGCAGTGCCTGTGGAGGCCTGGAGAAGGTATTGAATCCCCTGGAGTTATAGTCGTTAGCCACCCTATGGGTACTATGGGTACTGGGAATTGAAACGTGGGTCCTCTGAAAGAGCAGCCAGTGCTCTTAACTGCTAAGCCATCTCTCCAGCCCCTTGGGTTTTTATTTTTGAAGATAGTTGATTCTGTCTTTTAACATTAAGAAAAATACATGCTGTGTGGTGGTGGCACACGCCCCAGCACTTGAGAGGCAGAGACGGGCAGATCTCTGAGTTCAAGGCCAGCCTGGTCTGCAGAGCAAGTTCCAGGACAGGCTACAGAGAAACCCTGTCTCGAAAAGCCAAAAAAGAGAAAAGAAATACACACAGAATCTCTTCATACCAGGAAATTTATTTCTGGCAATCTGAAAATTAAGAGAAAAAAAAAAGATGCCAGTACTTAAGATTTTATGTTGACCAAGTTATATTAATTTGGGGTTTTAAAAAAAATCATTTAAAAATGAGTGAGGGACTGGAGAGATGACTCAGGTTAAGAGCACTGGCTGCTCTTTCAGAGGTCCTGAGTTTAATTCCCAGCAACCACATGGTGGCTCACAGCTATCTAGTATAAGATTTGGTGCCCTCTTCTGGCATGAAGGCAGACATGCTAGAACACTGTATACATAATAAATCCTAAAAAAAATAAAAATGAGTGAATAAACCAGGCATGGTGGCACACTCCTTTAATCCCAGCACTCGGGAGTCAGAGACAGGTGGCTTTCTGTGAGTTTGAGGCCAGCCTGGTCTCCAAGGAGTTCTGGGATAGCCAGGACTGTTACACAGAGAAACTGTGTCTCGAGAGAAAAAGTAAATAAATTACAGTAAAGAAAAAAAAATGGTATGACTGAATGACTCTTCATTGAAAAGTTTGTAGGAGCAAACTTCCAGATCATATGAGAATCTGCCAGTTTTTGCTTTTTCCAAATAAAGATCTAGCGACCTTCCAGCTATGTTTGTGTGTGCCTCTCCCTTCCCACACTGGGATTACAGGAAGGTGCCAAGCTTTTGATGTGGGTGCTGGCGATCAAACTCCGTCTTTATGCTATCATGGCTTGCACCTCACTAAGCCACACCCCTAGTCCAGCGTATTTTCTTGATGACCTGCCCCTTTGACTTGTCCATCTGGACACATTTTGGTCAGATGGAATGCTCTCCTCGCCTGCCTTGGCTCTCCATTCTGATGCTTGGGTGACCAGCTAAGAGTCACCAATAATGGTGTGGCTGTCCCATTAAGGGGGGAGGGGATCTAAAAACTTCTTAATGTCATTTAACCAAGAGCAAGTTCACATTTGCATTCTCTGCGTCACTGTGTGTCCAAATCTGTGCCTGCCCTGTAGGCTTTCTTGTGACTCTGTCCTTGTAGCTGTGTCTGTGTTCGTGTGTGCGTGTCCCTTATGCTTTTCTCTGTATTTGTGACCATCACAGAAAGCATCGCATGGGGAATGAGTGAGGGATACTTCACAGACACTGTTTAACCGTTTTTCCAGCTTGCCCAGACAACAGTGTTTATAAAGCTGCGCTGAATGTGTGTAACGTTTATGGTGGATGTCCATCTTAGAGGACTGTCCAACTCCTGTGTTCTGCTTTCAGCAAATGATTGTTAGAACACATAAGTATTCTTGTGGGCCAGGGGCATGGACTACATAATTTAAGGCTTACAGCTGGGCATCAGTTTAGGCTGTAAAAGGGAATGTCAATGGGAAATCCAAAGCGTGTAGAATTGTTACATTGTTCTCAAAGGCAGAGTAAACGGATAGGCTGGTGCCCGGTAGGATAACAGTTTTGTTTTCTCTTATGAGACAGGGCTCTCTATGCAGCCCTGGCTATCCTGAAACTCTGAAACTCATTCTGTAGACCAGGCTAGCCTCAAACTCAGAGATGCACTTACCGCTGCCTCCTGAGTGCTAGGATTAAAGGCGTGCGCCACCACCGCCCGGTTCAAAGTGTGTTATTAACCGAAGGTCCAGCCAAAGTTCTTGTCTCCTAGAATATAAAAACAGATTTTTATCACAGTCCCTTGGCACACAACTGGAAGTCCTTTAAGACTGTGAGCCCAGACCATTGTTCACCAGGGCACAGCTGAGGGTTTCTTTGTAGATAACCTTATGTCCTGTTTACAATAAGAATGGCCCGCTGTGTCCCATAAGGTTGGGGACTGCAGCCGGCTGCAGATTTCCTGAGGTAATTGCATTCCCTCCTCTCCTCTCCTTTTCCCGCATCCCAGCTTTCCCTACCATCCTTCAGGGTTGTAGTGCCAGTGTCTCTGTAGGGTCTATGTGCTCTTCCCCTCCTGCTCCAAGTGACCTCTGGGAAAAGTCTCCCCATCTTCCCTCAGGGCCAGCTCAAGGCCGGGTTCCCTTGAGTTCGAGTGAGGAAACTAGATGGAGCTCTGTCTCCACAAAGAGGGTGTGCATTTCCCAAACCAGCCCAGCTTAGAGCATGCCTCATTCAAGTTAGCATGAGTCACCAAGGGAGGTTCACTGCCCTCCAGTGACTTTGGGGTGAAATGTCACCCTCTGATAGGGCCCATCTCTACTTCCGTCTGACTCATTCCTGGAATGTGTTCTCAAGGACTGACTTCAAACTGACCCCCAGATTCTGAAAAAGCAGGGGCTGGGACTAATTTTCCCTTATAACAAAGTTTGGCTCATATCTACTCCCAGATCAAGAAAGCTGGCCACACCATGGCATACTGCTATATAGTGCATTCTATGATAAACCTTTGGTCATAACCTAGGAAAGGACTCAGACCTCTGAACCCAAACCTTCATGACCTTGTTGACAGGACGTTAGCTGTGGGAAGGACGTCGTGTGGATTCTCTCACTAGCCCATCTCCCCTGGACTCAGCCCCAGTGACATTCTTGATGACCCTTTGTGAATACTCAAGCCCCTGTCGGATCCCGCCTCTGCTACCAGCCTCCACCTCCACCTAACAATCCTGCTTCCCCCTCTTTCTTGATGAGGGTGATACCAAATGAGGGTGACACCAAATTAAGGTGACATTTTCTCCACCTGCAGAAGTCTCTCCAACTGCTCTTCCTTACCCGGTGTCATGGTGTCATAGTTCAGCTGTTGACACAAACATAGAGTCCCCCAGGCAGAGGGAACCTCAGCTGAACAACTGACCAGATGGGCCTGTGACCATGTCTGTGAGCATTTTCTTAACTGCTAATCTATGTAAGCTGCTCAGTCCACTGTGGGTGGTACCATCCCTATGCAGGTGAGTCAGCCGTAGAAAGAAAGGTTAACAAGTCAGAGGGGAACAGGCCACCATCCCTCTGTAGTGTCTGCTTCTGTCCCCGCCTCCAGGTCTGGATGAAGTGAGCCTTGGGTCTGAGGACTCTTCCCTCTCATCCTTGTCAGGAGTACC